CTGTCTTATGAACGGTGACGGAGCAACAGCGACAAAAGTACCTCAGCGTTTGCTACATTCATGCTTGCATGCACCATATTTCTGTCATGCTGCAGCGTTACAGCTTTGCAGCTTTGCTTGAGTTGACCTTGTTGTTTGATCGGTTGCCATGCAGTTGTCAGCTGAGTTTGTGAATAGCCTGGTGGCTGTACTCAATGTCCTTGCATCCCAAGTTGCGACAGCTCTGGACACCCTGAACTTTGCCTTGATGATGGAGCGTGGTCGTCCGACAGACACGGTGGTGGCCCCGCGAGCACCAAGAAACTCCAGACATGGGTTGCGGCCCCGCATCATCACGGAGCGCGCCTCATCTGACAGATCTCGATCCCCCACACGAATTCGAGCTCGTCATCTACCTGGTACATTCCGGCTTTGTCCCCGCCTCGAGCGGCACATCGTGATGCCAGTGACCACAATCCTGGTACTCGGCCCGAATCTATGTTGGATCGACTGCCACCGCCTCGTCCACTTGCTCCCTTCGCGGCACACGGTGACCGAGAGCCAGGACAGACGACGCCTACGACACCTGATTCGGATTCTGATGGTTCGGTACGTCCGCATCCAGGTGCCTCGTCGTTCCGGCCGTCGCCTACGGTGGTTCATGGTCCTAGGGAACTTCTACAAGAATTTACCATTGCGCTTCGCAATGCATACCGTGAACCTTTCACGGCATGGACACAGGGTGAGCTGGATGAAATGGTGAGACGGAAGAAAGACAAGGATTCCAGGCCCACCTATAAGACCATAGCTCGGTTTCTTCAGAAGCCGATTGAGGAAGTCAAGCAGGCATGGAAGGTCTATCAACAACTTGAGGCTCGCGGCTAGGAACATGGTCGTCAAATGCAGCAGCGACCATCGAAGGACCAAATGGTAAGCTGCGGCGGTGTGTCCGGTTTGAGTTGTTGATCACATGATATTTGCTTGATGGCACGTGACTCAATCTTGCTTGTCGTTTTGGGAGATGTCGTTGACATGCAGTGAAGTCTTGCCTGAGTTGCTCAAATCATGTCGGAACAAGTTGTACAGACGTACATTACCTGGACCCATGGAGCGCAGCCGACGTGGTTACAATTTCATGGGCCCGGGGCTCTACTCGACAGACCCATTCGGCTGACTACGTCGCCTCCGCCCCCGCCAAGTCTGCCATTGCTTCTTCCACCTCCTCCTCCACCACCACCACCACCACCGGTGATTCTACACCCACAGTTTATGCCCTCGGTACGCAGCCCCTCGATCTCAGCCCCTCGCGGACAATCCTGCCCTACCTCTTCGAAATCGCAGCGCACACGCCGCTCGATCTACAGCACTGACCCTTCCCGTGATGAAGAACCACGCAGTCCAGGGCGCTCGTCCAAACGATCTCGGACAGCATCAGCTTCAGCGCCGCGACGATCTCGACGGCCCTTTACAGTGTTTTATTCCAAACGTGCTGGCCGTCCATCGCAATCCCCATCGGCAACATGCAAGCATTACTGTCACGCCATCCTGCGCCATGGACGGAAATGTCTTTCCCCTTGTGCTCGTAGACGACCAGGACACTATCATTGCAGGTGTGCGCGACATCAACGACAGTGAAACCTAGGAGTCAGACATTTCAGACCTCGTTGCTGTGTTTCACCTTGTGTTTGAAAAGTTGCCTCACTCTCCAGCGGATATGTGCGGTTGGCAATGCATGTGTGTCCTTGCCGCAGACTTTCGACTAGTTTAGCAGTCGTGCAAGCCCGTATTGCTGCTATGAACCCCCAGTATTTCGAGTACCAGATCGATAGAGGAGTGGAATGGATTCGAATTTACTCTCCGGGCATTTGGAGACCCGTTCCTGATGAGGCGCCAGTTCCTGACCCACTTCACGCTTCCACGTATCGGGAGTGGCGCAGATCATATCACTTCCAAGTGTACTGGTCTGAAGACAGCACCGGAGGCACCACAATGGATCCTATAGTCACGCCCAGTTCCTATGTGTCCTACCACGTGTGGGAGTACCGAGACTGGCAAACACGAGGGTACCAACGACTTGGACCTCCTGTACAATCCATCGGATTCGCGATGCTCGTCAATGCAGACGTCGAGTCCTCGGTGGGCTCGTCGGTACCGGATGGGGCGTGGCGGGAACCGTCACCGCCGCCATTCCATGATCCTTGGAATGATTCGGATTGACACTTGAGTAGCATGTTGGATAAAGATGCGGTTGTGCTTGCTTTGTATGTCAGTCCACATTGGGTTGTCTTGCTTGGTGGTGTGCATGTCGTCTCTATGCGTCCGCCGCTTTCCTTGATAACTTAGAGCAGCTTGTCGGGTTGAAATGTTCAATAGTACGGTGCAGGGTGCAGCACGATGGGTCCTACCTCGCTATTTTGACTATGACATCGTCAATGGGCCAGCAGGAACGAGTGTGGAATGGATTCGGATCTATGTACCGGGTCAGTGGCATGCAGTAGCCACTGACACCCTGGGACCGGCCCCGGATGACCCGACCACCTATCGGGAATGGCGCAAGGTCCACCACTTCGAAGTGTACTGGCCCAGGGAAAGCACAGGCGGCACAACCACAGGCACGGTTCTGCAACCGGTATCCTACGCCACCTTCTACACTTGGTGTTACAGGGACTGGGTCACCAGGGGGTACCAACGCCTGGGTCGTCCACATCCCAGCATAGCGAGGCCAGTTTTCGCTTCGGGTGCTCCGGACCTCATGTATGCTGGATTGACCTCCTCCTCGGCATCATCTAATTCACATGATGGCTGATGCCCGTCCTCGCCTTCCTGGAGAGTCTGACTTCGATGCTGGAGCCGCGCAGTGCTACAAAAGTGGTCTTTTGCATTATGATAGTTGATTTGCTTTCACTCGTTGTTGTCTGCAGCCGTACACCTATCAACTTGTCTTTCCGTGGTTGCGTTGTCATGGCGTGGCTGGAATGGTGCCCGGACCCTCAACAACCAGATGCCCAGTGGGTCAAGATCTTTCATCCGGGACCATGGACGCCACAAGAAGAACATGATGCTCCACCTCCTCCGCATACTTTTAGAGAATGGAGGGAGTTCTATGCTCCCAACCAGGACTCAGTCGGTGGGCAGGTCCAAGTCACTACGTGGTACAAACGAGACTGGGCCACAGAGGGCTATCGGAGAATCGCTGCCCCTCACGCTGGTCATGAATTTGATTCCATGTATCCCTCCGATCATCACAGCGTGGCCACGCAGTCTGCGGCATTGAGTATGTCGCCGGAGCTGTTAGACGCGATTCTCAGGTCCTCGGATGCGGCTGATTTCTCTACTGAAGAACTGACTCGTCTCCAGGAAGGGATTTCGCAACAACTGACGGCTCGCGCACGTCTGGCTTCCCATCCTCATCAACCAGTACGTGCATCGCGTGGAAGCACACCATCGGAGACGATTGGGGTCTCTGAACCCTACCGGCCCGTGAATCCTTCCGACAGCGGCCGAGACAAGATGAGTCCCGTCTTCGAGCTGACTGAGGACTAGACTCGTATGAGCAGCGCAGCGTACAAAATAAGGGTGGTCTCTACACTTGCATGATCTTGCTTGGCTGTTGTTTGAACATGGTTGTGCATGGTGCTTGTTCATCTACTAGCTGGATCGGAGCCCGCGACAATCCTTGCCTCTTGCCTCGACATGGACATCGATGATTCGAAGCAGCACCCATGGCTCGAATATTCGGTCTGGCAGGATCAGGAGTGGGTGCGGATATACACTCCAGGACAGCCTCAACGATGGCACCGCGGTGACGCCGTACCTGATCTACCTGAAAATTCTTTTCGGGAATGGCAGCGGGTGACTGATCCCAATGCGCCAGTCCAGGCATGGGACATCCGTGACTGGCAACACCAAGGGTACCAGCGCATTCTGTCTCGGATTGAGTCCTTCGCAACTCACTATCCACAAGATCAGACTCTTGGTCAAGTTCGAAACTCCGATGCCGTTCCAGTTGAGGAGACCTTCACCTATGCCACTCCGTTTTCTCATGGTGATCGCCCGGCTGCTTCGCAAATTGCTTCAGTCCTCTATGGCGACACTCGCAATGCTCGACGTGGTGATCTCTCGTTCCCGTCTTCTGAGCGGTTTAGGGCGGTGTCTCGCTCCCCTCGCCGTGGAGGATATTTTGGTCAACGATAGAGATTTGAGTTTGAGCATGTGATCTTCCTGCAGGAGAAAAGAGAGACCTCGCCCCTCGTAGAGGGGCGTGTGTGTGCGGAGTGGCAGAAAACCCTGCCACCAAAACCTTTTTCTGTTGCAGCAGGGGGACCATCCATTTGCTGTGTGCGATGGTCCAACGAAGCGGCCACAGCAAATGCGGATATCGAGGCTGATCACCTCGACGTACCTGTGCATCTCGTGTGATTCAAAGTCCTTTTGGCCCGTTGTTTCTCTCGCTGTGTGTGCTTCATGTTGAACCTTGTAACGTTTTCGACACTAGAGGGAAACCGAGTGCATTGCGAGCCGAACTCATCCTACTCGAGACTTGTCGGTTGTACTCGAGACTCATCAGTTGTACTCGAAAGATTAGCACTCTCCATCTGGAGTTCAAGTGTGTGTTTGTATGGTCAGATCGGCGGAAAGCTGTGGCGCAATCCTAAAATGAGTCGAACGCAGGCAGTGAGCGTCGCTGTCGGGTGCTGCGCCAAAATATTCAATGCATCGCTGGCATCACAGCAATTGGCGCACATGCACTTCTCTTTGCTTTGGGTGCTGCTCTGTTTGCGCATGTTTATCGGGCTGGTGTTGCTTTTGCTAGTTGGCTTGGCAGGGGACGGACAGGTACATATTCATAACGCCTCGTTCAGCAACGCAAAAGGAACAGAAGGTCAGCTTTCATTTCTGCTCCTCTACTCCCAATGACAAGGATAAATCCGGCGTAAGGGCTTCTTTTTTCCCACCCAATTTGAGCCACAGCCATGTCCCGAGTGTCATTTCTTCAGGTAGCTCCGGTGGCGCCAAGTCGCTGGTGCTTCCAAGAAAGGAGCTGCTCCTGAGCTCCGAGAGGAGTCGAGTCGAAGGGATTCATCGCCCCGAAGACTTCGAGGAGTCAACCACAATGACACGGATGCACGAAATCCGTTGGCACTTTGAAACCATGGCTGAAACCATGGTTTGTCTTATTTGAGTCAGGGGGGGAAATGTCAGAAACCAGGGTTGCTGAGTGGTGGTGCGAAATGGAATTCGCAGCCATCCACAGGGCTCCGAAATCCATGGCACAAAGAGTAGATTGTGAAGCCAACCCTTGGCGATTTTTTGCCCCTTGAGGTTGTGAACCTTCCAGACTCCAGCAACCCGAACCCTGGGCTTGAGGAATTTCCAGACTTTTTCTCTCCCAAACCCCAATCTCCCACCTAGGCTTTACAATTATCGAAAGGAAGTGGACCGATCTCAATGACCGATCTTCGATTCGGAACTCACTCGATTCAGCCCGGAGACCTGGCAACTTGACCATTTGCCCCGAGCAAAAGACAAAGTCAACGCGGAGGCATGTCTAGACGTCACACGTGACTAGAACGACTCACAGAAACAAAACCACTGGTGAGTCCGAATCACTCCAACCCATGTCCCAGACATGTTGATGATGGATGCGTCCTGTTGCAGAAGGTGCCAGACAAACAAGTACTGACGGGTTCCAAATACAGATTCAGCCCCCCAAATTCATGCCCCAAAATGACCAGTCATTTCTGTGCTGTCCTCAGATCCCCCTGCTCAAGGTTAACTTTTCGTGGGTTCAATGGGAACCCCCACCAAACCTAACCCCCCCCCCAAAAAAAAAACACAGAAAATATGGCTGTGGCTCAAACACACGTACCAAAATAGCAGCTTGGTAAATGGAACCAGACACTAAAACTTGCGTACTGTAACCCTGGCTCTGTAATTTTGAGCCGCAACCATACTGTGGATGGACGAAATCCTGCACCACTTTGAAACCATGGGAAACCAGTGCTTGTTGGTATTTACGGAGGAATCGAATCATCCCAGGGTTTCTTAGGTGGTGCCTAAGAAAATTGGGATTTCGCACAAAACCTCCAGCTGCGGAGAAGAAAAAACAGAGAGAACATCATCTAGGGAACCGGCATGGCCGGGAAACCGCCAAGAAAATATGTTGCAAAACCAGCGGCTGCAAAAATCGAAAACGACTCGTTCTCCTGGAGCTTCAGGGCAAAGCGCGCCAGGTCCGGCACCTGGATCCTGAATCCGTCGAGACCCAGTTGGAACCAGTTGTGGGTCTGGCGATGTTTTGTGGCAAAAACGGGCATTTGTGCGGTTTTGGGAGGGTGGGAAAACCCGAAAAGATTCAGTCAGAAGCAGAACGAGAAGCTGGCCAATGAAAAACACCGACCTCTTTGAAAAGGGTCGAATGGTCCTTTTGAAGTACTTCTTGTTGGAGGTCCTCACCACAATCTCCTGCTTCTCGTGATCCACCTGGCGACAGGTGGCTTCGGTCGTCCGAAAGCCCTTAGGAATCGGGGCCCGTTTCGCGTTCAGTCCATGACCAACTCGGCTGAGCTGGTTTAAGGGACATGCTGGATCGCTTGGGCGCTCACGGCTTCCGCAAGGCCAGTTGTCCCTACACTTCTTGAAACATCAAGTCAGGAGGAACTCGCCTAAAATTTGCCCCATGCTTTACCTTCCCCCTTTCTTTGATGTTGGCGCCGATTGTTCCACCCTCCCCCCGCCCCCCAGTGAGTAGTCAGGAAAAGGGAGATCTCCACTAAGGCGGGACCTCTCAATCATGAGTGCGATACAAAATACCCGTGTCAGCTCATGGTGTTGCATTCATCGCACAGGTCCTCTCGACGCTGAGCACAGATCCTAGCCATAGTTTACATCCCACGTAAACACTAGGATCCTGGTTGCAATCATCACAGGGTTGCTTAAGCGATTCTTCCGCAATCACACGTCTCATAAGGAAACAATTCAAGCAAGCTGGTAAGATTGATGCTCAAAATGGCCAAACTGCATCTTTGAAGAACCCCGAAATGGGTCGCGGCTGTGGGTCAGGGTCAACTTGGGTCGGGCGCACCAGTCAAAACGCGCCAAAGCCACCGTGACACTGTACACGTCCGCTGGATAGGACAGGTTGCGGATCCTCCATTGAAGGTGCTCAGGCCTTGGACGAGCGCACGCCCAACGCCCACTTTGGGTAGTCCTCTGGTCCTCCAATCCAAACATGAGCTTGCGAAGCAATGCAACCCCTTCACATCGCCATTCCTTACCTAGCTGTACCTTTCCCCATGTGCTTCAGGGATGCTTCTCTTCAGAAGATAGGCCTAACTCCTCGGGAGACGAGCCATTTTTGAAGGCATCCCCCTCAGAAAGCTGAAGTCAGTGAGGCCCCCGCGTGTCCTTGCGGAGGAAGATCGGATTGCTCCTCGGCGTTTCAGGAAAACGGTTCGCGGCCTTTTGTCAGGCGGTGGGTGGGTTGGCAACCGCTTGGTTCCATTGTAAAGTGGGTTCTGCTGCAATGAAGCCTTCATATTCTTGCTGGTTGGAGAAAAACAAACGTGTCCCGCACCAAGTTGAAAGCTTCGAGGCCGAACAGAAAACCAAGTAAGCACGCCTTCTCAACCAATACCAAGTCCACGGGCGCATAGGTGGAAAGGTGCGCGTCGCATACTCAACTTGGCTAGGACAGCACCATGAAAGACATACCAAATGGACCCTCTCGGCTGTCAGACTTTCAGAGTGTCCAAAACTCTCCCCTCCCCCCCTCCCCATTGAGGGAATATTTCGGCTTGTGCGTCGCCCTGCTTCTGCTGCAGCAGACTTGGCCAGAAGAAGTCAACAAATATATGATACAATTAATGTAAATACCGAAAACAACAGCAACAACAAAACAATTAATATCATTTACGTAACTTAATTAATTCATTTTGTTCTGGCCTCCAAAAAGATATATAGTTCACTAAATCAGTTCCCACGTGAGGAATGGAAAGCTTGAAAACAACGCGGCGACGCATCGCGGTTTAAAGAGTGCAAGCCAAAATGTGCAGCAAGGGGAGCAAGAGCCGGACATCTTTTTGTTGGCCTTCAAGTCGGACCTGGACCTTCAATTGGGTCGGAACCCCGCTTGCGGTTCCCTTCAAAAAGGCTGCCCAACCGGGCGATCAAAAAGGCTTGTGTGATGGCCCGTCAGAGGGTGGCAAGGCTCAAGGCTCCGCAAGCTTCTCCCCAAGAGTGCCATGAAGGATTGGAAGGTTGAACGTGGCAAGGGGGGAATAACTATATACAACACAAGTCTTGCCATTCGCGGCTGGAAATCCAGGATCTCCGCAAAACTCACATTATAAGTTGTGTCGTTGCAGGCGGTATAGAGGTGGCAAATCTGAGGCGGCATCGAGGAAGCTTTCAAGAGGTCTGAGTAGGGGTCGAAGGCCGTCTCAGTTGCCTGACTTCCAGGCGAGGCTCCAACAGGTCCATGAGCCCAAAATAGCCCAAAAATGAAAGTTGATTTACAGATGCCCGCAAAACAAGCCACTTGCACTTTGATGGGTTCTATATCAGGAGTTTCTCGAAATTCCCTGCAAAATCAAGCCCCAAATGGACATGGTGTCTGGGACGTTTTGCGCACGGGAAACCATTCTTTCCTTCCACCGATAAAACTCGGACTTTGGCAAGTAACCTCATGGTCCGAGTGTCCAATGGCGATCTTCAACTTGAACCTCTTGTTTGGATTGGCAGCTTGGGGGATGAATCCCCCCCAAAAGAAATCCTCAGGAATCGGTACCTCGGAAACATCACTTGTTGAAATGCGAACAAAACCATGGACCATGCAAGTCATTGCTCAAACGCTGTGGTGTTGATTCTTTCCAAAAAGTGGGTTGGCCCTCCTACCCGCAACTTCTTTTGGTGAGTGTGCCTCGTTCGAACCCTCGATAACGATCGATTTTCTCAGCGGTGCTGCCCCTCCCTTTCGGGTGGGCTTCAAGTGAAACCGAGTAAACACCCAAATAAAGCTCAAAAGATGTTGTCCGTCTCAAGTAAATGCACACATGGGTACCCTCTTTACCTTTTGGATGTATCAAACAGCTGAGAAATGCAAACATCAAAGGGTCAAACTTGGACAGCTGACAACAAAATTCTCAAGGACCCCGGCATGGATGTCGCACATTGATCATCTAAACATGCGGAATCATATACACACATAAGTACGAGCTACGTTGCAAAAACGGAGAGCGCAATTCAAATTCGGAATCCCCAAGTAGGAAAGAACCTTCATGGGACCGCCACTCCGCGAGCTCGTCATAGACACGCGGCGCAAATTGTGTCACATAGATGTACAGATTTAGTGTGCATATATATATGTGCATATATACGGAATCTGTTTTGTCTATGTTTTTCGTGTTTCTTTTATGGTCGAGAGAGCTAAAAACAACGGAAAAAAACACAGTGTTGTTGCAGTCATTTTATGAAGAAAGAAGGAAAGGTAATTCACGGGGGGGGGGGCTGACCATACATATGTATACATATTATATATGTATACATATTATATATGTATACATATTCCAGGTTCGGAAGAGTGCCCAGCTTCGCTGCGATACTGTTGCTGCATGTGGCAACACAACCCATCCATCATCCACCCAAACTCCACCATACATATTTACATACATGGCCATGGGTCAAAAGCCCGTACCCCCAGTGAACATCCCAATCCCCACTAAAATAGACTAACATGGGTGATGCACCTACCCCAAAATGGTACCATTGGTTTTGACCCACAGCCACATAAGTATCTACTGGTTGTATATGCAATGTTGGCGTTATGCCCATCGCTCAATTTGGCACGTTTCCCCTGGCCTGTCCAACCTCATAGACCCACTCTCCTTCCTGGCCGCACGCAATCAACACGCAGACTGTCCGAGCGTCGCATCAGCGCATTGAAAAAGAAAAACATCGCTAACGCGCGCACACACACACACATGCCAGGAAACAGACGACTGGATATATGGCAGTGGGTCAAAAATAGGCACCTACAAGGGAACCCTGGTGAGTGGCAAAATGGACCAAAACCTGTGGTCCCCTGGTGGTTTAATTTTGACCCAGACCCATATTTCGCACCCATTGTGCCATTTCAGGGAACACCCGTTTCAAGGCCTCAAGACCACAGGAGAAGGCAGGCTGAACACACCAAGCACACTGCACAGCTTTTTTTAGGGGGGCAACGACCCCGTCTAAATGAGCTAACAAGGCACGTTGCTGTTGGCTCCAAGCAAACAAAGGCATCGTCAAACGCAAAAGGCAGAACGGTCAGAGCCAAATGGGTGTCGTTTTTACTTTTTGAGGTTCTCCTTTTTGTTGGTGGTTTTAAGGGGAAACCAAGAGGAACACCACCATTTTGGGTGCTCCGCCCAACAAAGGACACATCCAAATAAGTCATGAAGCCAAACGGAAAGAATCCAGGTGTCCTTTTGAACAAGTTGGTGGCACTGGAGCCAAACTGAACCCAGCGCCGTCTATGTTTAACCGATCTAAGCAAAAAAGACTAGCAATGCGGCGAGGGCTTCGCCCTTTCAACGCCAAGCCCAATTCAGAGACGTGCTTTGCTGGTCTGTTTCCAGCCGTACGTCACACCACTTGGATGGAGAGGGGGGGGCTCTCTTGTTCGGAGATTCAAACCCGGGATCAAACTCATGGCGACTAAGGATCCCTCACTAAGGGGTGCACCCTTGTTGGGAAAACAAACGAAAGACGTTCATTTTGGGGTTCCCCATTTGAGCAGCGCCCAAAACCCTGGGCATTTTGGGTTCGTGCCTGCTTTCATGGGAGCGCTACGAAGATGCGAAGCGCCTAAACCTTTGCAACCGTCCGCTCAGGTTTCGGGCACTAATTTCACAACTTGGGCTTGCTCCCCAGCAACTTCACGGGAGGAACCTAACAAAGTTCGTGTCCCAAACAAGGCGGGTCCATTTCCTCACTGGTTGGGTTCCACGTTAACACAGGGAGTATCCATTTGGTTTCTACGTGTAAGCTTTCACTAGCCAAGATGCTACAGCCCGCGCCTTGCCCAACTTTGAGGGCTTGCGCACCCTCAGCGAAGCGCAAGGTTCAAGCTCTCTGACCAGCAGACATACGATGTGGATGGTTGCGAAATCCGCTTCTCGCGCCACCGTTCAGAATCCCCTGGTGTCTGATACGATTCCCCTGTAAATACCAACAAACCATGGTTTCCCCTTGGTTTCTTAGGTGGTGATACAGTACCAAATCCTCACAGCGGTCACAACTCCTTGGCCCTGGTCGTGGTGCTCAATTCTCCATGACCAAAGTGAGGTGGTGTTTGACCCGGGCGCATGGGTTATCTGACTTAGACGAGCACTTCCTCACCAGCAGGACATCCGTCTTCTCATCGAATTCCTCCACCATCTCACCGCCATCCTGAGAGCTTCGAAGGCCCTGATTGTCTTAGGCTCCACTGGCATTGCCCCAAGACTTTTGGACTACGTCAACTGAATCACTCAGGAACCAAAACACGTTGGCTCCGGGTTCAGGTTTGGCCACTCGTTTCCATGGGATTGTCAAGCTGCCAAAAGTTTTGCCGTGCATTTGCTTCTGCGGGCTTTCGCCTCCCCCCCCCGACTTTCCTCAAACAGTCAAGGCCAACAGATCCAAACCCAAGGCACAGCCACGCCTTCCAAACTATGGCGATGGGAAAATCGGATTTTTTGGGGGGGCACCACGGCCCTAAGCCCTGTCCAAACATGGTTGAGTTTGCTCGGTAAAGACTGGACATGGTGTTTGAAGTGGGACTGGGCATTTGGAACAGGGAAGCCTTCCCCGTCCGAACCAAGTTATTCATTGCATTTGATCATAGAAGCGCTTAGCCAATAGAGAGAATACAGTGACTCTTGTTTCTGGTCTGGCCAGGTCACAACGTGACCTCGAGGGGATTTGCGACCGCTTTTGGGCCCAATGATGATCCACTTGCGAACCAACAGGAAACCTTGCGGGGTGCTTTCTCCGATTTTGGACCCCGTTCTGTTTCTTGAGGCTCTCAAGCGCCTCGTCACCGACTTGGCCCCTGTGATGTTTCAGAGCTTGCCGCACTGTTGACAGCCCGACCAAGCGAGGCTCCGAACTGCTGACCACACACTGACATGAGCAACGCGCATGACCCACTGCGTTCCGCATTCCATTTAGGGGGAACCAGAAGGGGTCTACCTTTTTCAACAGCATCCCAACTGAGCTCCCTGCACAAACCCTTCAAAAGCTGCAATTTACTGGTGGATTCTATTGAAAGCGCCACTCTTGGAGGTTCCTACCAAGGGTCATGGCTCGGAAACCCCTGCCCGAAGCCCCGAAACGTTTTCCTTCGGCGGAAGCGGGCCGACGGCACGAACTGTTGGCGCTGGCCTTCTCTGGCTGAGATAGGCCAACCACTTAGGCTGCCCACTAAAACTCAGCTCGCCCTAGCCACATGTGAGCCACTTGCTCAAAGCCTTTTTTTTCTGTGTCCCAAAGGGGGGGGCTTGAGCAAAGACCAAGCTTTCCGGGCCCGACTTACCCAAAAGAATCTGTCAGAAGGGGGGGAGCATAATTGCTAGCTGAGGGGAAGGACTTACTAGGTCCTCCAGTAGAGAGGTTAGAATAAGGGTACCCTTGTTTTCTGTAGTCTGTTTCAGTCTTAGGGCACCCCTCCCCCAAAAAAGTTGGTAAAAGGGCACTCCTGGGGGGACCCTAGAAGACAGGGATATTCCCTACAGGAATGCAGCTCCAAAAGCCTCCTGGCAGCTTCCATTGGACTTCCATCCCCGAGACCCCGCGCCGGGTAAGTGGTGTGGATCTTCTTGCGCCCGTCCGATCTGCACAGAAAAAATCACGCGCAGAAGCCCCCGGGATTTTTTTGGCAGTGTCGCAGGTTGGAGGAATCTGGAGCAATGCTGGGGAGTCGGCTCCCCCTGCAAGGTTGATTTGTCCGGATTGCTACATGGCTGGGTCAAAACCAATGGTACCATTCTGGGGTAGGTGCACCACCCGTTTTAGCCTAATTTAGTGGGGATTGGGATGCTGGCTGGGGGTACGATTTGGATTTTGACCCATGGCCACATGGAGCTAGAAGATGAAGCATGCGCCGCGAACATCTTCATGCCGATGAGCTGCGTGGAAAGATCAGGCTTGCCGTTGCTGGTCAAAGGATACCAAAATGTGCGATCCACTGTTTGAAAGGAAGCCACCGTGAAGCTAACCATGTTTGGGTGATTCATGTTCTCTTGTCCTTGCAAAAACCACTGTATCCTCTCTCAAACCAGGAAGGTGTGGCGCCCGGTTCACGCACTCGCTTCCAAAGCGGAAGAAAGACACCACAACTCGAGGACTGGGTCGGACATCCATGTCTCACTCAGTCCGAAACCCGAACCCCGCGATGTCCTTTTGAAAGAATAGCTTCCACTCATTCAGAAAATTTCAGAAACCAATGGAACCCATGGATGTTCATCCAAGTTAACCTGAAAGGACATGGGGTCAGCCCTCTCAGCCTGTGTGTTTGACCCGCCTCACCTCACGGGAGCTTCTTGGGGTTGGGAGAACAAATTGGCAGGGGGAGGTGGGGAAAGTCTCGCATCGCTGCTTCAGCTGTCTCTCTGGGGGGTCTACAGACAGTTTTGGGTGATGGGAATCCCAATGATGTTGGATCTGGGATGCTCTTCTAGTGAGTGGTGCAAGAAGCCAAAGAACAAACATGCTGTCACCAATCTGGAAGAATTATAATATTTCACCAACCCGAAGCAGAGCAAACAGCTAGGAATCTAAGAACCTTCATCATGGGGCGCCCGAGGCCGCAATCCCAATCCCTTTGCAACTTGCTCCAGGCCAATTCAAATTTCCCTAGAAACCAGCTACGAAGACAAACATGCATAGTCTGGCGCACAATGTGACTGAACTTCAGGCCTTGTAGCAGGTGCCTTGCTCGCAGGCAAACAGATGCCACACATGAAGTTATACACCACTGCCTTCCTATTGCTTCAAGTGCCGCGAACCAAAAAGCAAAGCATTCTCGTCAATCAGGACAAACTCCCTTCAAACCAACATGTGAACTGAAAACCGCCAATTCGGCAAATGCGTTCGAATCTGAGATCAGTCATCTCCTAGCCGAGAAAACTGAACATCCGACTGGCCGGGAAGGCTCTGATCGAAGCTGATCGAAAACGTCTCTCGCCTCATAGATACTCGCTGGGGTTCCCCGGCCTTTGGAGGCTCCTCGCGACGGGAATGTGCGGATTGCCCAGCTCTCAGATCCCCATCTCTTTTCCAGGTAGGTGAACCTGTCCTGCGGCCTGGTTGTTTCCCGGCGACCGAAAAGTGACCCCACGTTTTCGGGGTCCAAAAAGGGACGCTATGCCACTGCGAACTGACGAAAGAAGCGACACCGAGATCCCAATGCACAGCAGAGGCCAAGCAAGCAACATATTCAACATGCACGGCTTCTAGGCCCCAAAGCGATGGGCGCTCCAAAATACAAAACAAAACATCCGAAGGTCGGCATATAATTCTGGAATCTGCGATGAGTCGCCAGTGGTCATGTTTCGCTTGGAAAATGCAGTCATACCCCGAAGAATGGGTATTTCCCGGCATTTGCCGACGCTCAACGCCAAAATAAAGTGAAACAGCAGATGTGTGTAAACGAACCTGCTGAAAGTTTGGGGATGAGCGGACCGAGGTTTGCCATCCGCAATGATGCCAGCATTTGCCAGCAGAAGGCTGGCCCGCGAAAACGTGGATTTGGGGACGCCATAGTCTGCGTCGGCATTCTATCCGTGCTCTCGTGTTCAACAAGAAGGGCTCCCGGTTCAAAAGGCTTGGACTGCCGAAGACTTTGGCTTCCATTCAGCCGTAACTCTGGACAGGCACTTTTTGTGGCGTAGAAGGATCCAATGTCCCTTTGCCAGGGGCTCTTGGCGCAAGTGCGTCTGATCATTGAGTTGGAATCAACATACGTCTGCCACAAGGTTACATGACTCAAAAAACACGTCTAATGATGGTGCAAAGACTAAACATGACGTATGCTCTGATGGACTGGACAAAAGCAACAACAAATGAAACAATGGTCGGTCTTCAGTTTCTATCAAGAAAAATGGTTGAAGATGTTGATTCTAAAGTGTGCACTTGGTGTGAATCTGACTTGATGCATCCCCTTAGGACAAAGAATCGAAGGATTCAAGGAGACTGGGGTGTTTCCACTTCCGAGCTACCAACAACCAACGGTCCCACTTGCTTCCCGACTCCTCTGGCGATGTCTTACCGTAGCCCTTCCTGGCACGAACATCCCCTGAGGTGCATCTCATATCTTGGGGATCTTCCTCCTTATGGATCAGCGTCCCTCCAATCGGTGGTTTGGGGATTTGAACCCCTGGATCGTGTAGAGGGTAAATCGGAGGCCCCTCCTGAAGCACCACCAATCCAAACCACCAACTAAGGAGAAGCTGCATGGATGTGCCATCGGTTCCCTTCAAAACTCGCCAAAACAAGATCTCTCTCTTGGAGGACCCCCTTCTCAAGGCAGCATGTTGGGCACCAACCGCACGTTTTCTACGGGAGCCTGGCATTTGTTTCGTCCAAGCGCAACAGAACCAAACAACAGAACGAGTCGAACTCGTGCTAAAGCTCGTGTGAAAGCTGGGTTGTTGGCTCATCCTTTTTTCAAGGTTGGTGAGAGTTGGTCAAAGAGTTGGTCAAAGAGTTGGTTAAAGAGTTGGTTATGAGTTGGAGGTGCGGGCTGTGCTGGTGCAGTTAGTTCTGGGACGGTGACGCCCTTGGATTCTGCGCAAGGTCTCAGCCCGCAACCTATGCTTGGCTGCGAGATTCGGGGGGGGGTAGTGATGCCTGTGTCCCATGGAGGGCTTCCGTTTCGGTGTGCGTTGGCGGACTTCAATCCCCCCTAGACAGGCCCCTAGATCACAATGCCCACGTCCAAAGCGGGAAAAACCACCCCCACCCAAAGCAAACCACCCAAAGCAGTCGCATTGCCGCCCTTCACAGAACCATACCTCTCTCAACGCTCACAAAACGCAAATGGCCCTCCAACACACGTAGGCAAAACAACCATCAAATGCTCCCCGAAAAAGGAGAAGCCGTGCACCCCCCCCCCCCCGGCCCCAAAAAATAAACGCCAAGTGGATGTCCCCGAAAGGTGAAAACAACCCCCGGCCAGCAAAAGAAACGCCCCAAACCGGGGCGTTGCAAAACTCCCCGGTCCCCTCTTCGAGGCCGGCCCGCGCCCCGCGATCTTCTCCAGCTCAGCGGCCAGAGCCGCCATCTCCGGCCTCTGACGGTTCGAAGGTTCGAGTGCTAGGCCTACCAGAAACCACCCGGAGATTCACCCAAAAAAAATGGTGGGGTCCCGAACCCATGTGGGGTGGGTTGCCCATGTGGGTTTCTAGGGGTAACTTCCAATTCCAGTCTTTCCAGGGATCTGAATCTTACTAGAAAACCTCCGGAAACCCAGGGCAACGGATCCGGTTTTGGAAAAAAACGATGGTTGAAAAGAATTCACAACCCTTATAAAGGTCAGAGTCCATCCTGAAAGAAGCGCACCAGGAATTCCGATCCCGGAAGCGACTTGCAAACTTAAGCCGTTTCGCGAATTTCTGTGTTCTCTGGGGCCCTGCCCACGGTATTGAGTCCGGGCTGCCGGGTTGGGAGCGTGGGTAAGCCTTCTCCTGGCCTGCGGCCTTTTTGTATCATATGTCTCCCTTTGCTCCAGTTGCTTTGGGGTCAGTGTTTTTCCTTGTTGCTTCTCAGATGAGCACTCATCATTGCCTGCGGCGAGTGCAGCGAAGCTAGTCATGCCCGGGTCGCCTTGCTCAACATGAGAATGTTGTTTTCTAGCGCTTGCTAGTGGCTCTGGTTCTCGTGTTGTTGTGGGCGACAGAGCACTTAGCTTGCCCGGCCTGCGCTGCCTCTGCCATGATGCTTTTGGTCGTGCCTTGTTTTTGCGAAACTGCGCTTTGCCTTTGCTGCTATGGTGTGCAATATCCTCAGTAGAGCTTTTTGCAAAGGGACCCGCCTTCGTGTTGGGCCTTTTGGTGACTTCTTAAAGGGAAAACTGTCAGACCCCTGGGTCCAACATCAGGATCTTTGCCGGTTGGGAACGCAAATGTCAGGTTGCTTTGAACGCCGCATTGGTCTTTGTCAGATGCTTTGGGGCCCAATTCTTAGGTTGGTTTGGGCATCCGCTGGTCTCATTCCTCATTCCTCAGTTCGACCTGAAATGGAGAGCCACACTTTCTGCCTGTTGATGTGTTGGGTGTCGCTCGGTTGCACCCTTGAATGCCTGATTGCTCCGCCTGATTCACGCACGCTGCATCACGCCGTCTTCCAGGACTTGCCGGGGTGAACCCACAGCTCTTGGAAGGCAGGGTGTCACCATCCGTCGCGATGCCATCGACCCAAACAAATCAGCCAGCCAACTCCAACGAGCCAGCCAGCTGCTCCGCGACATGTCGCTGGGGGGCCAAACCTCTCATATCCAAGATACGCTTAGCAAAATCAGACCAGCTCGCGGTCCCTCGACGTCCAACGCCGACACCTTTTTGCGAAGTTCGAAGCCCCGGAAATGGCCGTCCTCTTCACACCCTCAAAGAGATCACCAGGGAGTCGTGTTAAATGCAAAGCTTCCCAAGGTTGCATCAAACGGCTGCCCTTTGCTATTCTTTTAAACCGGGTCCTTCAACCGCTTCCAACTCAAAGGCATCCACCTTCTTCGAAGGACTCTCACGAGAACGCGTTGACAACTGGGGCCCTGGCGTATCTCCTGGGTAGCCCCCGGGCGAAGCCTTGCCAGGCCCTTTGCCTTGCGCTTTCCCTGCCCAGTCGGGGCGTCCCACGCGTCAAGGTGCCGAACTTGCACAAAGCTGTGAACCTAGGGATTCCCAAAAAAAAGAAACCAATCAACAGACACCCCAAACAAGAAAACAAAGCAAGCATGATTTATAGGGGTCATTCTCCCTGAGATGAGGTGAGAATCTGGCCCCGGCAAGCGAGTCCCAAGGCTTTAGCCGGACGAGTCAGTGCGTGTCGTGCACAGGGTTTCGGGGCGCGAATGGGGGACTTAAAGTGCTACGGTGGATCTAAGGTTCTTACTTGAGAAAGCATCTCATGCAGAATGGCGGTGCACATATCCGCCGACCCCCCTGCCTGCAAGGGGAAGGCGCTGGGGGAGTGTTCGTTTAGCGTTGGAGCGTGACTGTGGCAGCCTTCTCCCTTCCCTTTCGCCCTCGCCCGTTCAGCCCTGTACCTTACCAGCCTTCTTTCTTTCCCTTTTTTCTTGTTCTTCTTCGTTTCCTTTCGGCTGCCGGCGCACTCCTGTGGTTGGTGCTCGCTGTGGACAAACAAGTGCGGCCTGGAAAAGCGCGGGAAGCGAAGCTTTTGTGGCCTCTGGACCGATAGCCTTATAGCCTTACTGCATATTGGACTCAAACGCGACGTTAGGCACCCGGCCGCGGCGGAGCAGGCTGCCGGCGCACTCCTTTGGTTCGTGCTTGCTGAAGCGAGTGCGGCCTCCAAGCGCGCTGGACGGTTGCGCCCTGGGGACCGATAGCTTTCTACTTTCTATATAGGATTCAAAAGTGACGTTTGGCACCCGGCCGCGCCGGGGCAGCCGCCCTTGGCAAGACGCAGCAAACCCAAAGAGAGAAAGACCAGGGATAGGCAAACTGCGACAAACGCAGGCACACATGGGCACGGACAGGCCGGGGATTGAACCCGGTCCCTCTCGCATGCTGAGCGGGTGTGATGCCACTACACCAACTGCTCCTGAGCTGAGGAGGCCGAGAGGTTTCTTTTCTTTCCTTGTCCTTTCGGCTGCCGGCGCACTCCTTTGGTTGGTGCTCGCTGTGGACAAACGAGTGCGGCCTGGAAAAGCGCGGGAAGCGAAGCTTTTGTGGCTGGCCGCTCCCTCTGGACCGATAGCCTTATAGCCTTACTGCATATTGGACTCAAACGCGACGTTAGGCACCCGGCCGCGGCGGAGCAGGCTGCCGGCGCACTCCTTTGGCTCGTGCTCGCTGAAGCGAGTGCGACCTCCAAGCGCGCTGGACGCGAAGCTGTTCTTGCTGGTTGCGCCCTGGGGACCGATAGCTTTCTACTTTCTATATTTCTACTTTCTATATTGGATTCAAAAGTGACGTTTGGCACCCGGCCGCGGCGGGGCAGCCGCCCTTGGCAAGACGCAGCAAACCCAAAGGGAGAAAGACCAGGGATAGGCAAACAGACGCAGGCGCACATGGGCATGGACAAGCCCGGGATTGAGCCCGGCTCCTCTTGCATGCTGAGCGGGTGTGATGCCACTACACCAACTGCCCCTGAGCTGAAGAGGTCGAGAGGTTTCTTTTCTTTCCTTTTCCTTTCGGTTGCCGGCGCACTCCTTTGGTGCTCGCTGTGGACAAACGAGCGCGGCCTGGAAAAGCGCGGGAAGCGAAGCTTTTGTGGCTGGAACGCGACGTGCCCGCCCGTTCGGCCTCTTTTCTTCCTTTCTGCTGCCGGCGCACTCCTTTGGTTGGTGCTCGCTGTGGACAAACGAGTGCGGCCTGGAACAGCTTTCGTAGCTGGCCGCTCTCTCTGGACACATAGCTTTACTGCATGTACGATCCCTTCCCATCTTTCTTTCCGTCTCCTTTCTGCTGCCGGCGCACTCCTTTGCCTGGTGCTCGCTGTGGCAAAACGAGCGCGGCCTCTTAGCGCGCTGTACGCGAAGCTGTTCTTGCGAGCAGGCATGCGGGACCGATGCGCAAGATTTCTGCGCTGCGCTGCCAGATTTCCGCACACGTCATTTCGTGCGCCAGTCCTTGGTCTGGCAAAAGCGTTTGCTGTTTGGCTCTTCGTGCTGGACCCGGATCCGGCCTTGCCTCGTGCTCGACTGCACTTTCGTTTCAAGCTTCCACTGAAATCATGAGATCAGAACTCTCCTTCCTCGCAGTGGTTCCCCTTGCACTTGTTTCGTTGTTTGCTTCCGCTTTTGGCAACGAAAGCAAGTCAGCGAGTCCTTGCCATTGGTAGCTCCATTCGTGTCCGCCGCCATTTTGGAACAGAAATTGCCACGCCCACGTCAATAGGCTACTGTACTCGAGCCTCATTCCGCAAATGCACCGTACAAACAAGCAAGCCAGCAAGCAAGCAAGCCTGAACCTGCCAAAAGCCGCTGCCAGAACAAAAAAAACTGGACTGGCCCCCAGTGGAGGGGTCGGCGGCACTGGGCGGCAGCCCTTAAATTTGACATATTTGACAACACTAGCAAACACGTCCGGCCATGCTCAGCTTTTGCGGGCTATGGGCATGTCCAACAAGGAAACCTTGCAATGGCTAACTTGCCTGAAGGCTAATTGACCATCCCCAGTAATCCAAAGTAAGCAGGTCTCTTTGCAATGGCGCACATGCCAATCCTAGGCCCTCCAGTGACCATAACGCGGAAACATCAAGGTGGAATACAATTGGGGCCTTAGAACACTGGCTCACCTCCAATCCAACCAAAAAGAGACCCATGCCATTTTGGATATGCGTCTCAGACAAAGGATGACTCAATGAATTCAAAGGCAGCAACACAGTGGCAAAGCAACTGGCCTGCCGTGTTGATCGGTATCACAATGAACGAGCCACAGCTCACTGACTCCATTCTGCTGAAAAGCGTGCCTTCTTCTTCCCCATGCTTGGCGTGTTGACCCTCTCGCCGACCGTGCTGAATGACCGTCATTCTGGGTACTGGCACAAACCGTGCCAACGCCGTGCATTTGAGCGAGCGAATTCTCCAACTGCGATGCCAGATTGATTGCAATACCTTGACATTTCCAACATCAGGCTCCATCCAGACCAAAGTGCCTTACGGCTCGGGTCTTATCTCCCATCCGCCACGTCTGTGCAGCCGGCTGTCGCCCTGTTCCAAACACAAACGCCGTTTTCGAGGATTGAATCATCATGTGGCTCATCTGTTTCAGCTGCAAGTGGGAAGAGCTCTTATACCCAAGAAGAACAAAAAAACACTGCACCATTAGCAACGAGTGCGAATGCCTGGAGCTATCTCGACAAAACCAATCTTCCACTCTGAAATGAATGCGATGCCCTGACCCTTTCAACATGACTCGGATCAAGGCTGTCCTTTTGCCACTTTCTGAAGTTCGGCATGGCTCTCCATCTTACTAGAAGGTGGCTCCGGATTGAAATGATGGCAGTGCACCCGAGCCAACAACACGCTGCCACAGTGTACTTACCTTTGGCGAGCCTGAACGGGAGTGGTTCATCAGAAAAAGGGCGCGGAAAGGGAACCCAGTGACGATTCCTCTACTGGGGAAAGACCCGATGAGTCAACCACGGGATGGCCCCCTTTAAGGGGCCAATACTTCTTTTTCACACCCACAGACATGCATACCACCTTGGCCGTTCCATGACTCACACAAAACCACGACGTTGCAAACCGTGGCCGGGTGTTCTCCCAGGTGAACTCCTGAAATGGGGGGGTTCCGCCCGGAAAGGAGGGGTCCACCCAAATGGCCACATGCTCCCCACCCCCGTAATGCAAAATTGTGACGCTACCTTTACAAATCCAGGGAGAACCCTCTACTCATTGGCCTAAAAACATGAAGCAAGCAAATACATGGTGAAAGCCATAGCCCAAAAAGCCCAAAAAGCAACAAGCCCCTTGAACAAATCTGTGTGAATCATGCTTCACCATGCCGAGATAGCGCACTATGAAAGGAGTGCAGGTCACGACCCCAGAGCTTGCCATCACTGGCCCAAATGGATGGTTCGGCGAGAAGAACGGGGCCCCTCCCACTGCGCAGCATCCAAGCTGGCCGGTGCTTGGCAACCTACAGTTTGCTCATTTGCCGTTGGTTTGAGATATGACCCGCCCTCACACAGAATGCTTGGGCCAGTGGGCCAAATGATTTCCCCAAACACACGTATACACACACAGCAACAGAAGAACGCGTCCCGCGTCCCGCGTCCCAAACGCCTGCTCCGGAAAGTAGCGTCAGCTTCTCCTCGAGCCCTCGGGCAAGGCAAGCGTCGGAGAGCCATACTATGTGGTGCTTCCCGCAAACAAATGGCCCGTCCAAAGATAATGGGGACAAATGACCCTTCTCAGCCCCGGATGTTATAAATAGCTCTGGGGACTTTATAAATAGCTCCACATTTCCTCACCGAGAAGCCAAATAAAGAGCCTGGCACACCTCCTAAATAGTGGGTGCCAAAGCGTTGTTGAGCCGAAGGGGAAAGAAACTCCAAGGCGCCCAAACAAATCCGTTTCGAACTGGGGTCGCCTGTGCTTGCGCTGTGCAAGGGTAGGGTGTATGTAAGTGGGAGGGAAGGAAGCTGGTTAGCACTCTTTCCGCACTTTGCTCGACCTGGTTCTGACTTATATAGGGTAAAAGCGGAGGTGACAAAGGTGTGAACGGTGTCCAAACGCACTTCTGAACAGCGAGGGCCCTCTGGTTCGAGTGACCCCACACCTGTCGTGCAAGAGCGAGCGATGGACACCCTCGCACCTCCAGCTTCCAGCAGCTCGCGCCCGTCCCTGGCAGAAGGGGGCGGTACGCCCGATTTGGTATCTGACTTGGCCATCTCCGGTGTCCTTAGGATGAGTTCCCTCAGCTGCGCGGCTGAACGACTTGGAATTCCCTTCCACGCAATCCGAAAACAGCGAGGTCTCACACCCAGAGTTGCCAGCGCACTGCATCTTACCAGCTGTCTATCCAAGGATCTGCGGGATTGTGCAGGAACCAGCAAACAGGATTAGTCTTTGCTGGAAATGGGCAAGTCACACTCCACTTCCCTTGGCGTTGGCTGGATTCAAACTACAAATACCCCGTGAAACCACACGTGACATCCATCCCATATGGGTCGAAACCCATGTCGGTTTTGTCTGGGCAACTGGCCAAAAGATGCATACACGACATCATTCCATCAAAACGCCTGGATATCAACCATATGCACCTTATTGCGGTTGGCTGCAAAAGGGGCGCCTGACGCAAAAATGGGCTCCTTAGTGTTCGAGCGCAGTGCGCTCAAGCAGTCAATGTCATGCCTGAAGACTGGCATGAAACCCCACATAGCTCGGTTGCTTTCTGCTCCCCGGCTAAAAGTTGGCCTTTTAGTGGTTTAATTCGGAAAACCCATTAGTTGGCAAAAAGCTAAAGTCCTAACAGCCCTTGGCAAAATGCCTCGCCTAGATAAGTCTGTTCAGGCTCCACATTCTTAACTTTGCGGGTTTGTGGCTTTGGGCTTCAGAGCTTCAGGTACAAAGTCCTCACACGGTGCACGTGTCGTACGGGTCAGGCCAGCGTTCCCAGCGGAGGGGCAGAACACATTGGCCGTACTGTAACTTTAGAATCTGCGTTGTCACAAACGCTCGCATACATCTACAACAGCCAAGGCAGGTATGAGCTTCGGAGCCTCATGTACCAGTCATGCGACCTGCAAAATGCAACCAACAAAAGACACCCCAACCAAAAGAATACACCCTGAAACAGACCGGCCAGGAAAACCCTCCTGCAAACCGATCCTTCGGATCGTAGACCCCGGATGGAGAGTGCGGGGCACCCCGTGTCCACAGCCCGAGTTTTTCCAAACGCCATGGGCAAGGTTCAGATATTTTTTCCCAGCGTCCCGAACCCCAAACGGGTTGTCTGTAGTGGAACCCGAGCTGCTTTCCTTTGAGTTTTTTCTTGGGACCAACCTGAAACGGCTCATCTTTCAAGCGGCACGCACCCAGAGATGTTCACAAAATAGCCGTCCGAACGCCTGCCCTTCGAGCTCGGCTGCGGCTGGGTCCTGAAGCATCCAGCAGCATGTCTGTTTTTGCACCCGTTTTGGGGCAGCCTGAAAGGAAATCAGAGGAACTAGAGAACTCGTAAGTGTATGCGTCAACCTGAAACGCCATCCAAGAGGTAGAGCGACTCAAGTCGACTCCAACTGGCTTGATCAAGTCTCATGCGGTCTTGAAAACCATGAGGGAACCATGGACACGGATACAGACCCACATGCTACCCTAGAAGTGGACTGGCTCTCTTTCCAAAGAAAGCAATCTCACCAACTGTGTAACCAGAGGTTGAACCTTGAAGATGGCAGCAAGGCTGCCCCGAAGCAATATCCAGCAACTGTATATTAACATGGGCATGCGTGCATGTCCAACACACGGTCCAAAACCAACAAAGGGAGCCATGCGAAGGACATGAACCTTCTAATGGTCCTTAATGACCCCCAATTTCACGGCTAGCCTTCGTGGTGCAAATGCGAGAAGATGAGCGGTTTCGCGCTTGACTAGCGTGGAATGCATTCCCGCAGCTCGGCCGTGCAACAATGAGGGCTGCGGCCGCCTCTGGCAACTAGGTCTGTCAAAATTATGGACCACTGTTGGTGACCCGTCTTTCCCCTCTAGTAGATAGTAGAGAGGCTAGCCCTTTTTTTCTGTAGTCTATTTTAGTAGGGAAAGCTCCCCAAAAAAAGGCAGGCGGCAACAAATCACGCCTTCGGACCAAGGGGGGCCATGAACAAGGGCACGAGCGGCGCTTTGCGTCGGGGGACTGCCAGTTGGACACGGAAGTGCTACGGGCGACCGACCAAGTTTCAGGGGGCCTCTGACCCTCCAACCCACCAACTTTCAGGCAACCAACTTTCAGGAAACCAACCCCCAACAAGTCCCAAGACACAACAACAATCAACGACTGCTGCCACAAGAAACCAACTACTCCTTCAGTCGAACAAAAACTTTAGGGAAGCCCCAAAACGATGGTTTCCCTTTTGGTTCCTCTTGACACCAACCCCAGACACATCCATCTAGGTCCTCCAGTATACAGAGGTTAGAATACGGGTACCATTTTTTTTGTAGTCCATTCTAGCAGGGGAACCCTCCCCCAAAGAAAGGCTAAAAGGGCACGACTGGGGGACCTAACCATTTGCACGAAGGGAAGCGAACCATCTCTCCTGCCCGGCGCTTCATCCCCCGAATCGTCGATGTGGTCGAACTTGGAGTAGTCGATGGGCATTGCTCGCTGCACCGAATTCGGGGAGATCCAATCAAAACCCGGTACTAACATGGTCTACCCAGAACCATGTAAGGAATTAAGAAGGCGGAATCCCGCAGCTGTGTCTGGTTGGGATTGTCCCTTGCCAACCTTCATCTACCCGGGTGTTGATTGTGGGTGGCTCTGTGATGTTGCCCAAGGGTGTGACGGTTCAATCAGGAAGAGCTGGAAGTATGCCGGTCGTGTTTCTGGTTTTGCTTGCCCGAATTCAACCAAACGCTCCTTGTCCCGTGTATTTCCCTTACAACTTGAGGGGAAAGAGTGGAGTCACGAGGCCAGGTTCGAGTTGCAAATTTCTCTCCTGAGCTTTGGTTTTCCATTCCGCCGTGCGCCGCCCGTCACATGAAGTACAGCTCTTGTGCCGATTTTAGCGGCTTGGTAAAGAGGGAGTCGGGTTAAGCTTCGCCATGTCTCCAGTTCTCTCATCCGCGGACGATTCTGGAAGAAATGGCCACTGCAGCTAAGGGTCCCCCAAAACCCCTCCAGAGGGAGAGCCTTTTCCGGGGCGGGCTGAACCGTAGCAAACGAAGGCGTTTGTGGGGTCTTTTTATTTGGACATACCATGTTTCGTCGCGGACCGCTGCAGTGCACCCGCAAAGGTTTCTTGAGGAAGCATGGCAATGAGAAAGATTGTCGGAGCGTTCCCTTCCAAGCCCGGAAACAGGAAAAACAAACGTGCAGATGTAGGTTGGCAATGCCCACAAGTTTAGATTGCCCTGAAGTCTAGATATCTTGTCAACCAGAAACCTGAGCGGCCGTCTTGTTTTGCCCCAATCAAACACACATGGCAAAACAACGACCTCGCGCAGGTCCCAAATACATGAAGCCCCCAGGGGGGGGAAAAAAAAAGGCACCCAACAAAAAATACCGGACGGACCAAACCGTTTCCATCGGGTCCCCTGAATGGTCGGGGGGGTGCCTTCTGGTGACAAACCCATACCAACCCTCTGAAAGCAGGGGGGGATTTTAGGGGCCGACACGGGCGGCTGTTTCTCCGCGGCCTCCATTTCGGACCAGAAGTGAAACATCCAAAGCTCGATGTGTAAATCGAGCTGAGCCACCGTCACAAGCCCGAAATGGCACTTTGGTCGCTGACATGGAAGGAGTCGAACAAAAACAAGTGCAGGGAATCAAGGCTTCTTGCCGCGCCTATTTGGCGAGAACTTTCTGTTTCCCTTCAACCCAGGCTTTGACTGGCTGCCTGGCTCTTTGAACTCGGTCTTGATGTGAACTGCATTGCTCCGACTCCGACTCGATCAAGCAGGCCGACAGCGTCATGATCTTGGACCGATGCGCCCCGTTTGGGTCCGCTGGTCCAAGCCAAGCGCAAGCTATCGTCCACAAAACAAACATGGCATGTTTCTCTTGGGCTTCCCTTTCAACCCTAAAGAACGACAAGAAACCACAGACACATTGCACCTCCATCCGCGTCTCACGCGGTCTCTCAACCTGCGGATGCGGCCGAGGCAAGGATGGTCGCGGCCTTTGCTCCACGTATACTGGGTTTGTCTTGTTTGGGGGCGGGGGACAGCTGTTTGGTTGGTGTAAAAAGGAAACCAAAAGAAGAACCATTTTTTGGCCAGATACTTCTGTTGAGACAAACCCGCATTTTGATTCAGTTGATCAAAGGAAACTCAACAAGAACCGCCGTAGTCCTGGAACAAATTGAGTTAAGGGCTGAAACGGGTTTTTGCACACGCGCGCAAGCCACCTCGGTCGCAGCGTCTGATGGTCGCAAGTGGGAGACCGTTGGCACGGACGCGCGCACTGCTTTGCAGCTTTCAAACCGCGAACCCTCAGCACACTTTGGGCGGGTGGAATATTCAAGACCTTGTCGTTGTTCGACGGCTGGCTGGGCGACACAGGCTGGCTAAGAAGATAGATAGATTTCAGTTGCGCATTGAAAATCTTGTGGTGTCAAACCTGTTTCACTTCGCTCACGGGTCGACATTTCAAAGACACGGTGTTCAATCACTTATATAACAAGGATCACTTCTTCGCTCGCGCAACCCTCTGCGCACTTCAGGGAGAGGGAGAGGGAGAGGAATGTTTTTTGGGACTGTCCCTGTCATCTCTTCGGGTTTTGCTTGCGGCTTAATCAAAGTCTCTTAGCGTCCGCCGAGCCCCAAAACTCCCGGGCATGGCAGTCCAGTTGCAGAAAAAACGGCTTGGGTTCGGGCCAACCTCAACTGGTTCTCTGGGGGTGGAGCACTTTTGGGCCTGGGAAGGAACTTCCCCACCAATATTGGGTAATTTGACCTTGGGACCTGGTCTCTCGACAGATTACTCTCAACCAACAAAAAGGGGATCCCCGGCAAGCTTTCCGAGCGTCTCTCTGCATGCGTCCGGACCCCCGCCACCCCCCCCGGTTCCGCGCCGTGGCCCTCGTAGCGTGCAAGAACCGCCCGACCCGGGCCGCGCAGCCTCGCGTCGTTCAGGTTGGACCAACATGGCGGTGTTCCTTTGAGGTTCCAGTCTATAGCCACCAACAATCAGGTATTCCGGGGGGAAGGAAAAGAACGCACACACAGACACAGACACAGACACAGACACAGACACAGACACAACACACAGACACACAGACACAGACACAGGACAGGGATGCTTGGCCATTCAAGTGGGTGCGTACCGCTGCCACCAGATTTGTGAACTCGGGTGATCCTAGCCCATCGGTGCGCGTTAGCGTGTTAGCCTGTCACGTGCTGTTGGTGCCATGTCTTGCAATGTGAGCCCGCAAAGGGCAGCCTATTTTGCTCATCTGCATTAACTTTGGTTCTAGATGGCCTAGGCCGTTGCGTGGCTTTGGGCCTTCTCTCGGTGCTTCTCGGGGGTACCCTGTTTCAACTGAGCAGAAAAACCATGAATCACCAAGCTAAGTCAGGTAACCCATAATCATTCACCAAGCTGAAATGGCGGCTTCCCGAGAAAGGGACCTTCATCATGACGCCAAGCTCTTTGTGAGCTCGCCTGCCCCAATGGAATATCCAAGTCTAAACCCACCTCCCATTCCCGATGGTTTCCCCAAACAAAATGATTGATGGAACTTCGTGGACATTGTCTCCAGCTTTCAGCAAGCTGCCACTGCCTGTGGGTGCAGGTAAGCTTTCTAGGAGCTAGAAAGGAACATGCGTACAAGGCATCGTGCATGTCGGAAGCTTGTAACCTGTCCCCTTGACACATCCCAGAAGCTCAACCTCAGGCGACGTCTTTGACGCATGGGACTGTTTGCCACAAGACGAAGGCCACCTTGGTCGGTACTTGCCCGGGCAAGTTTTGCGTTACCCTCCCACTTCACAAACCTGACACTGGGGGGTCCTGGAAGACTGGAAGACCAGGTCGTCCGGTCCCACGTTTGGTGGGACGGTACCCACCTGAGAAGAAATCACGCGCCGTGACTAGAGCCTCATGCGCCTGGGGTCCGGGCCACTGGTCGAAGCTCAGCAGGGGGATGGGCTTGGCTAGGCCTCTCCCACAAAATCCCATGGAAGCAACCGGTTGATTTAGGGCCACACAAGAAGATCCCGAAATAAAAAAAGGAAGAAAAAAAAGGACAGACTGTTTTGGGATCAGCGGATTCATGAATTGAACCCTTTCAGAGATGTATGTCCACCAATTTGAAAGGGGGTGCCCTATCAAAATCGAAACCTTCTGGGAACGCAGGATGAATTAACCTCGAGTTGCTGAGTAGCGGCAGGTCCGATTGTAGAGACATTCCAGAGCACTTTTGCGAAAATCACCAAAAGCGCCTCCAACGAAATCACTTATCGTAGGATGGGACAATGGCAAAAAATAGACTCTATATGTCCGGCATACAGAGATGTTGTCCTGACAATGTCGAAGCGACTGCCGACTGTCCTCTACTTGGATCAATCCACGGGCCCCGCGCGTGTTTCTTGGGATTTTGCCTTGAGCAATCTGTCACTTGGCAGACTCCCTTCAACCTCTTGCCCATTTGGACCATATTTAGACCTTATGCTAGCCCACAACTTTGGTTGGGAATTTGTCGACCTTGCTTCGACCTCACGCAACAAAAAGAAGGCCCCTTTTTGCAGCAAACGGTCGGGAAACTCGTCGGTCACTGGCACACCGGCCGCAAGAGCGTTTGCAGAATCCCGGCGAAGCGTCCGCTTTGCCGCGGCAGGGCACAGTAGTTCCACGGGATCCAGGCCGTGTGCCAGGAGGGCAGCGGGTACCTGTGGATTCTGTGCCAGTTGCTAAGTTGCTAGGGGGTTTGCAAACCACACCATTTTTACTACTTGAGGTACATTACAACTTATTTTGGGAATGTGATTCTTTTCATAGACTCCAAACCACAAGTTGGGTGGTTTGACACTCCGCGAGAAAGCTCCAGGTCCCCAACGCCACGGGGTTACGGCTGCGCCTAGCCACGTTGGGACTTGGCAGACTCAAGAACACCGGCTCTTAGACACGTTTGGCTTGGCTCAGTGTCAAACTTGGCAGACAAGGGACTTTCCGCCTCCTTATGGGGCACGTGTTCCCTTGGAGTTCCGAGACGTCTCGTATTGCAAGGCAAGAAGTACATGAAGTGTCACAAGGCTGGCGAACGCCCCTGCAGGTCAACACCGAATCCCAGAACCATTGGTTTGCGAGGAATCTCCTTTTGAAGCGGACCCCCTTTTTAGGTTCCATGTTTGTCTTCGGTGGGGAGGGGGAAAGAAACACTCTTTTTTCACCATCCACCCAAACTTGCTGTTGTAATTTGTATACAAACCCAATTCAAGGACCCCCCTTTGGTCTTCCAAGGACCTGCAAAACCAGGGTCCTTCTTGATTTTGATCTTGCCTCCAACTGGAAATTCGGCCCTAGGACCCTACTTTTTCAAGGAGGAAGATCAACCCAAATTTGTGTGTGTTTTTGTTTCTTTGTCTCTATGCAAACCGGGGAACCCGATTTCGGGTCGCCCATCACCCGGCGAACTTCGCGCCACCTTCGGCTCCCGAGCGGCTTCACGTAGCTCCGCAGCAGCTGCAGCGCCAGGGCGAGGCGGTCCATGGACTCCAAGGCCTTTTTCGAGACCACGCCGCGCGCCAGGAGGTCCCCGCTCAAGGTGTCCAGGATGGCATCCAGGCCTGGATGATGCCATGGGGAGCGGTTCCCCCCCCCCCCCCCCCCCCCTTTTTTTTCTCGGTAAAACCCCCACAACCCGTATAAAGGGAAAACTTGCTTGTAACACCCCCACGGGCGGTTAAAAAGAAAAGAGTCACACGAATTGAGCTTGCAAAAAATCTGGCGCAGTTGGTGCGCAGCTGGGAGAAAAAGTGGCGGTTCCTTGCGGCGGACTTTGCTTTCGGGGGGAAATCGGAGCGGGGCTCAAAGGCTTTCGGCAAGAAGAGCATCTACTTTTGCTGCTGGGGGCAGCCGCCGGTTCACACAGGTCGAAACACAGGAATGGTCAACTGCGTCAACACAGGTTGAGGGGACATTGGGCGAGGTTTGCAACAGGGGCCCCCTTTTGGGAAAAGGGTGTTCACGGTTTTGACAGTCAAAATTACATCTATAAAGTGATCATGTGGAAGGATGTTGCTTGTTGGTTCAGCAACAGAGGGAGGAAATGCCCGGTGCATGTACATGAAATGCCAACATGAAGGCATATCTGATACCCCACACACACCCCAAGCTCTGACGAACTGTCCGGTTTTGAGCCACTGCCATGTGGGGTGTTGCTTAGCAACCATACCCAGCAGCACCCTTGCGGATTGCGGAAACCGCTGCCCGGCGCGACTGCGGAAACCAGGCGTCGCACAATCACTAGCTGAACGTCCGGAAACTATCGCGCAAGCATGTCTTCGATGTGCTTATAGACACCCAGGCTATTGTTTGTGAGTTCTTCCCTTGATTCCCTGGCAAACTGCATGGCCTTTAGCCCCCAAATTCCTTGCTCTCAGACATGCTGGCCTTTCGCCTGCAAGAATGTTCAGTGCACCGTTCTCGGCGACTTTGCCTTTCACACTTACTCGTTGCCCAACTTCGACGGGATCACAGTAAGCCTCGTGTTCTTCACTTGCCGCCTCCCGTCATCATGGTGCTATCGCCACAGCCTCATGATGTTCACCCTCATCCTCCTGGCATGGTGTTGTTCTTGATCGAAACTCCTCGGAGCCTATAGCTGTTTTTTTTTTCCAGATAGCTGAAAGCTATAGGGGTTCTAACTTTTAATAAAGCGGGGAAAGTGATTTGCGAGATTGACGGCTGGGTGCCAGAGGGCATGCAGTTGGGGTGCTGGCGCAGATGCTGTTAGGGTGTGCTGTTTGGGGAGCTGTTTGTGGTTCTTGTGAGGTTCGGCCGCATTTCTTGAAAGATTGATGGCAGGGTGCTAGGGGGCATGCGTGCAGGTGACTCTGCGGGCGCAGTCTTGCAAAATTGACAGTAGGTGCTGTTTTGGATTCTGTTTGGGGCTGTTTGAGGTGCTGGTGACGGTGCGGGCGCATTTTTATGAGATTGGTGGTAGTGCTGTTCGGGGCGACGGCGCCAGCATTTTGTGAGATTGACAAGCAGGGTGCTGAGGGGCATGCAGTTTGGGGTGCTGGTGCAGGTGCTGCTTTGGGGTGCTATCTGGGGTCTATGCTGGTGTATTTGTGTGTGTGTGTGTGTGTTTTTGTTTTTTTCCCGAGCAACGTGCCTTGCCATTTTCATGGGGAATAATTGAGCCCAGGCGCTGAGCATCTCATCCGGCTTTAGGAAACGTTGGCGCTCCTGAGCTTACAAGTCTGGGGTTTCAGACGTGTGCTGAGTTCAAATCGGGGTGTCCTACTCCGAGTGGGACACCAAGGGAAACCGCGGCCATCTGGCAGGATGGCAAAAATGGTGTCCTTTTTGCCGCGTTTTGGAGAGGGAAACCAGGAAAGGGCCACTGCCTGCTTGTTTTTTCAGCCGAGCCGAAAGCCAGGCAATCTGGAGGCTTTTCCTGGGCCGAAAAATGGGGGATCATGGAACCCATTGGGTCCAACGCAGGTCTCTCCAGCTCTTTTTTGGAACAGGGCGGGGACGTTTGCCCAAAAGAAAGGGGCGGAAAGCGCGGCTGGAATCAAATCTACACAGGTACAACCGCGGCGCAGCCGGGAAGGACCCTGCGAAGTAGAGACTCCCCTGCAAAGAAACATGGAACCCCAAAAGGCGTCCCCAAAAACAGCAGCTTCCCGGAAAAGACGTGGGTTTCAGGTTCATGCGTATCTGCACCCATGGATCTCTCGGGAGCAACCCCGAGATCGTCCAAGGCGCCGCCTCCGACGCGAAGCAGCGCGCCCTGGCCGCCGTCGCTTTTCGAATTGATCCCCTAGGTTCTGTGCGTGTGGTTTGTGGAAAAGCTAAGCATGGGAGAGCTCACCGAAACCCAAGATGCCTTAAGCGTAGGAAAGCTGGTTTCAAAACTACTCTAGAGTGTGTGGCTTGTTTCTTGTTTGGTGGTTAGTCCTTGTTTCTTGCTCCGAAACCCACGATGCCTTAAGCATAGGAAAGCTAGTTTGCAACTACTCTAGGGTGTGTGGCTTGTTTCTTTTTGTGGAAGACTTGCTGGTGCGAGAGATGCTAAACCATCCCTTGCGGTTTCCTGTAAAGGGGACCCTGGGTTCATTCCCACATTCCCTGCTGAGCACCAGCAAGAATAGGGGCGAAGGGAAACCAACCATCAGCTGTTTGAAGCCCCACTTTGAGACACACCTAGGACGCATGCAATAACCACGGATCCGGGGAGTTTGACTGGGCATTGTGGCCCAATCTATGACTCCAGGGACCCATGAGGCAACCCCCGGTGCGTCCAACTTCTTGCCTGTACACCACGGTCATCCGCAGGTCCGAGGAATTGTATCGCTCCACCACCTGAAGAGAGTGACGGGAGGGTTCTGAGAGTCTGAGCTGAGAACGCGATGATTTTTGATCTCTGGGTTCTTTCTGGCCCTATTTGTTGAGGGATCATGGAGACTTCGACAGAAATGGTCCGACTTTTGGACCTCAGCAAGAAAGAGGGATTGCCACCTGCCACAACAGGAGTTTGGAGCACAAACGATGGATGTCTGGTCTCCCTGTTGAAGTGGGTCAACATCCCCCCTTCCGCGGGGTTGGCCCCAGCCGCATGCAACCAGTGGGGTCGTCCAATGGGCAACGCCCCAAGGTTTGGGTGGCAACTCGAGGGAGCCACGGCCGAGATGAAGGTTTCCCCAAGCGGTGAGAAACAACCGCGAGCCAGGTGTCTTTACCTCGCAAAATTTAGCATTGACTGCTGGAAATTCTGACCAAAGCCTCAAAAACTTCTTGATTGGGCCGGATCGACCAGGGGATGCCTCCACAACAAAATAGCCCGTGGCTCGGGCGATTCCATGCGGTTTGATTTGTGGGTTGCGTCGAATCCACAGGTGGACACTTGCGGACGGCAACTTCCTCCTCAGCCGGGTCCGAGGCTGAGAAGTGGTTCATGCCCTCAAAGACTGATGGATATAGGGGAGCTTAAAAACAACATAAAAAGGGTTGTCTCCCTTGCACTTTAGTCTTGGTGTCCCTGTCAATCGGCCCGAAAACGCGCACCGAGCCACGCCCACATGGCCGCTATAACCAGCTACAGCGCAGGTTCTTCTCAAAACTAGACACTCCTCCAGGCGAGGCTACGGAACCTCACATTCCCCGCCTGGCCCTCGCTGCGCAGCTCCCAGCGTTCGTCCCCGACCTAACACGGAGGCACGATTTAGCCTGGGGACCCTTTGGCAACCCCTAACCTGTTGGGCCTTGACCCTGCCAAGAGGTAAACAGGGTGCTGAAAAGGATGGTTGGGGTTGGATTGACAGGATCCTCATCACCTTTGCGTGTAAAAAAACCCAAGCCGCAGATCCATCTTGACCCCGTCGCTCTGTGTCGCTAATCGGCTGGCAAGCGCAACCAAGTTTGGAACGTAAGTTTCCCTTCATTGAGGGGTACGCCGTACAGCGCTGAGGAGATTTGTTGATCCATGAAGCCTGGTGGCGAACTTTGTTGCCAGACCCCGCCCATTCAGAAAGTCAATTCGCCCGAGGACGTTCCGTTGAGTCTTCCCAAACCCCATCCACCCTTCCCTCATCTGTCCGCCCACGACCCATGTCTGCCCAGCCTCCGCATCCATGACCGTGTATTCCTTTTAGAAACACACAATTCTCCCAGCCCCACCCCCCTAGAAACTGGTCAAATCGGTCAAGTTTGTCTGGAAACCGGCTCATTTCAGCGCCGACTCGCTCACTCAAACAAACACAACACTCCGAGGCACACCAAAACACAGTGCGTAAAAAACGTGTTTGCAGGAGCCGGCGCGCGCTGCACAAGCCTTCTGTGCTCGGTGCAGTGGACACTCAGAGTTGTTAGTTTGCCGCATGCCGGAAGAGCGCGCCCACGCACTTTGCTGCCGCTTGTCCTTTGTCACTGGGGTCAATGGCAGCGGTTCTCAACATGTCCAAGACATATGCGTGAACCACAATGATTCGCCAACCTAATGGGCGTGTCTTTTTTTAAGGACTCCCCCAAAAAGGTGGCTCTCCTTGCGGCATCCCTTTCAATCCACACCCTCAAATCTGACACACCCACTGAGGGTTCCAAGCGCACCACCCAGGCTTCCATGAGCGACTGAAGCCCCTTGGCGCCAATGCCGCACACCGGCGCCGCAAGCACTTGAACTCTACGTTGAGAAGCATGTGCTGAACTTGCTCGTAGCCCTCCCCTCTTGTTTTGGCCGCTGCAAACGCGTTGTAGAAGAGCGCAGCCTCCAGCAGCTCATCGCCAGCGCACTCCTGGCGGTTAGCCGCCTCACGGACTTGGACGTGGCTGCTTCTTTTGGAAGCGGTTCTGCAACTGCAGCTGCTCTGGTCGATGATGAACTGATTTGTCGGCTTGGCCAACGAGTTGTTCTGCGGTCTGCCAGCTAGCGATTGGTCATTGGGGGTGCGCTGCTCCCTTCCAGCAAGACTGCCTTGCATTGGAAGCCCCAGACAACCAGAAGTAAGTGGGAGCCAAGACGGCCCGCCACCCCCCTTTCTGCTTCCCACGATTGCGCAAGAGATTTTTTGCCACTTGCTTTTGGCGCACACTCTCTGCAACAAGTTGGGGAGTTGATTTACAGCTATGTCGAGCGGAAGTGGAGAGTGTGCAGTGCGCACTCCCAAGGCACGGTGACCGCCTTCGCCGCCGCCCCCAAGGCGCGTCAGAGATTGTTAGAAAGCAAATTTATGTGTGTCGCTCACTCCAAAGTTGTGCATGAGCCTGCCCCACTTGTGAAGTGTCCAGCCGGGGGCTTCGCTTCAGCTTCCAGCTCGGCTCCCTCCAAGATGTCTTGGAACTCAATCTCTTTTGCGGCCAAACTTTTGGAAATGGGTCTGCAATTTTCTTGCGAGCCATCAGCCCAGGCGTGCATGCCCCTCTTCCCACGCTTGCGCAAAACAAGGGCTGGAAGGTGCACCGAACACTTCGAAAAACACGATGACGGGGCTTTGGGTGGCTCGTTAATGGCTTCCGGTTCGAAGATCATTCTAGGGGGAAGCCTGCAACCATCTCTCAGCAAAATTCTGCCTCCTTCATCCCACGCGGCTGCTCAGATCCGTGGCATGTTCTCAGCTGCACAGGTTGCGCCATTCTTCAGCCGCATAGGTTACCCAAAAAAAATCTCAGATTTGTGGTATCTTCTCAGCCGTCCAGGTTTCCAAAGTCTTTGCAGGCGACATTGCACCCCCAACATGCCTATAACGCCATAGCCACGAATACGCAAATTCAAGCTTTCTGGCAACCTGCAAATGAATGCGGTTAACATTATGGTCAATGACCATGAAAAACAACCCCCCCTACCCCACCCCTCCTGCAGACTGGCCAACATGGAAATGCAGGAAATGAAGCACTGCAACCTGCTTTTGTGCGAACTGTCACGAACCGTTAAGAACCCTGCTACCTAAAATTTTGCTACAAGTCAAAAGTGAAAACTCGCAAAACTGCTCGCGTGGCTAACGTTGGCTTAGTCAACCAAGAGCATCAGCGCAGAAACTCTTGGCAAAGGATCGAAACTCACAAGCAAACACGTGGGTTCGTCTCCCAATGGGGGATTGCCTCAAAATTGAGCACGTTCCTTTAGCGTTCTTGGAAGCCGAAAAGCAAGCACAGCCTCAAGCAAACTTCAAGATCACAAGCAGCGGTAGCTGGACTGAGACAAACAAAGGGGCGATACAGCAGATCTTCCCAAACTGAAATTGGGAAAGGGAGCAATGAGGGGGGATGTCGGCTGTCAAATCTGTGAATCAGAAAAAGGGGCAACTGCAAGCTACAGCAAAAGTTCGGGAAAGGGATAGTTCTCATTTATTATAGTCCTCTTTTCTTCGTTTCCTTTTGGAAGGAAGTGCAACCCCAGCCGCCCAAAGCCAGAAGCCAAACAAAACGGCGATTGGGGCACCGGCATAGAACAGGGCGTTGTCTTTGTCCTCGAGAAGGAGATGCGGTGTGGAACCCAGGAGTACTAACAACTTCCCACTTCCCAAGTCTCGAAATCCGCTCTGGGGACCAAACCCAGCCCTCCAAGCACACCCTCCCATGACCAAAACTGGGAGCAGCAGTTGGGGGGGCGGCTTGTGGGGGGGGGTCACCTGCAGTCCTTGTCCAGCAGAGGTGCCTTGACCTGCGGCTGGAACACCCCAGCAGCGTGCAAGGTTTTGCTCCCATCCACCTCACACGCCGAGCGAGCTTCTTGGGGTTCATTGGCAAAGTGTTTCTAACGATCTCTGAATCACAGAGATCAGCTGCAGGAAATTCCACAGGGTCTTGGGGGGGCTTCCTTTAGAATTTCCAGTAGCTGGCTTCTTAGACTGAAGTGTTTTGGGGCTTCTTGCGTAGTCTTGGGGTTCCTTAAGGTTCGTTGGCCATATCCTTTTGGCAGGAAAAAAATAGCATGCCTCCAACAGGAATCAGCTCACTCTCACTCACTCACCTTACTCACTCACTCCTCATTCGCTCTCACTCTCACTCTAGGGGGATTTGTTCACAATGCTTGCCACAAAATAAGAACATTGTTTCGAATTGGTGATCAACGAACGAAATCTCGTTGTTTACAAACAAAGCAAGCCAGAAAACAACATATGTGTGCGTTTTGGCTACCAACATATTGTGAGTGGTGGCATTGCAGCTATGGAGGGGAGGGTAGGGGAAAGGGAGGAGAGGGGAAGGAGGGGAAGGGAGGGAAGGGGCCAATTTACGTTACATGAAGGGCTAAAAGATTACAATGGGCCTTGGGCCAAATTTAGTGCTGACGTCCAAAAAACATGCAATTCGTAATTATTTCGCCCCTTCGTTTGGCTTGCTTTCAAGGTGGCTATCCTCCAAGACTCCCAGACCTCACCGAGGGGCTCCCACCCCGGACAGGTATCGGCTCGGCATCTGCTTGGGCGAGGCGTCGTTCTCGTCGTAGTACAGGAAGAAGCCTCCGTGGGTTACTGCAAATTGCCCTGCAACCGCCCCCCTTGTGACTCAGGAAGGATTCGAGGGGGGCCGACCTCAAAGTTTGGCGGGCCCCTTGTTTAAGCATGTTTAAACCACCGCCGTTTGAACACTGCCTTTTTGTTTGGCGCCCCTTTAAACGGACTCCATGGCCGATAGAAACACTCGCCACGACATGAGTTGGAAACCCTGACCGGACCAGTGCCTTTGCAGTTTCCAACACGGCTGCAGTCACTGCTTGCCCTTTGCATTGGCTTTGTCTCGGGGAAACAAGCCGTTTCCCATTTCCTGGCTTCCTGTCAAGCCGTTTCCCAGAAAAAACAGCGGTTTCCGCCAGAACAAACTGTTTGTTCCGCAAGTGGACAAAAATCCCCCAAACAGTGGCGCCTTTGGCTTCCCTCAGGCCCGGGCCCCCGCCTCCCGCAGCCGGGTCCAGCTCGGTCTCGTGGAGGTATCCCACCACCTCCAGAAAAACTGGGCGACTCGGAAATCCCGAAAGAAGAAGAAAAAAACGGGTCCAGTTTGCTGTTTCGGCTTTTGCTTTGGCATTCCCAATCAACATTAGTCAAAAAGGGATTGTTCTTGCCTTCCTGAACCTGAAAGACACTCTGAATGCTCAGCTAAAAGTAGACGTACAGCTGACCACCTGCCACTGGTGAATCACTGAGCAGCGCCCCTTCCACAATAGGTTTGTTCTGCCCCCAACAAAATTAATACTCTTTTTTTCTCTAAGGACTCAACAAGCATCTATCTAACAAGCATAAGGTATTTTACCAACAGACACTTCCAATCATGAAATCCGACTGGCTGTGGGCTCCGCTTGTTCCATGGGCCTTCGGAGTGGTTTCGACTCCCGCCTGCACTTGGTCGACGAACCGGTCCTGGAAGAGCCCGGAGAAGACCATGACGGCCAACCTGAGCCATCAAGACTATGGGGGAAGAAAACCAGCGTTTCCAGGAAGGTTTCCTTGAGTGGTTCCAAGCCGACTTTCCAGGAGAGAAAATATGGGTTTCTACTCCTCGTTCATGCTTGGCGATTTCCCGTTGGTAGACCATGTGTTGCTTGATCGTTTCCGCCTGATCCGTATGAGGGGTTCATACTTTTGCTTTTGGAGGACATTTTGGGCACCAAAAGGAAACCAACAACTTTACAGTTTAGAAGAGGTTTTCCTTTTGACAATTTCTGGTTGAAAGTGCATAAAGCTGTGCTCCGCTCCAGCCCACATTCCAGGCCCCTCTGTAAATGTAGAATCCCTCACAAAGGAATTTTGGGGCCGGGCATGTGCTATTTTCGGGGAGGGGAGCGACACCTGCGAAATGATCTAATTAGGTGATCAACCTGCCTTTCAGTCCCTTAAAACGTCACTCCAACAAAAATCCCTGACACCAACCCAAACCCGCCCTAGCGACAAGGCATGATCAGGCCCATCGCGTCGAAAGGGACTGCTTGAAGCCCGAATGCAGCATCCCAAAATCCAGATCCCACATGCAGATCCCCAACGTGGCGCACCCCGGATCCCGCATCGAAACTCGATTTTGGGACTTGCGAATCCTTCACCGGATCGCTCGCAAACGGGGAAGGACCTGCATTCATGACCCTTCCATGAGGTCATCCTGTACCCCATGGGAACCCAAGAATCCCCCCTGGGTTCCACACAATGCGCCTCTTGGGCTCAAAACACGGGATCTACAAAACCTACAGCTCCGGGTTCCCTCGTGGGTCTCAAAACCGGAGATGTCAAAACCGGAGATGTTTACTGAGGGGTTTTTCATGCTCAGTAGACCGGAAAAATGTCTCAAAACGGCCCCGCTTTGGCCCTCGCCGTGTCTCCAACCCCGCCAGAAAGTTTGGGTGAAAACGGCCAAGCGACAGCCACTGAGGCACCTGGAAGCGGCTGGCGCCCACAAAGTAGGGCGCGTCCAGGTGCAGCGCCACCGTCTGCCCCGGCACGGAGAGGATGAAGTTGAACTGGAAGGGGTCCTCTCAAAAAAAATCGCCGTAAGCCTTGACCTACATGGCAGGAAAGTTTGGGCAGGGTACTTGCCGTGGAGTTCTGTAGTGGGGTCCTCTCAAATCGTCGCAAGCCTTAACCTACATGGCAGGAATGTTTGGGCAGGGTACTTGCCGTGGAGTTCCGGAGTGGGGTCTGTGGAGTTCCGGAGTGGGGTCCTCTCAAATCGTCGTGGGCCTTGACCTACATGGCAGGAAAGTTTGGGCAGGGTACTTGCCGTGGAGTTCCGGAGTGGGGTCTAAGCCTTAACCTACATGGCAGGAAAGTTTGGGCAGGGTGCTTGCCGAGGAGTTTCGGAGTGGGGTCCTCTCAAATCGTCGTGAGCCCTGACCTACATGGCAGGAAAGTTTGGGCAGGGTGCTTGCCGAGGAGTTGCGGAGTGGGGTCCTCTCAAATCGTCGTAAGCCTTGACCTACATGGCAGGAAAGTTTGGGCAGGGTGTGCTTGCCGTGGAGTTCCGGAGATGGGTCCTCTCAAATTGTCGTATGCCTTGACCAACATGGCAGGAAAGTTTGGGCAGGGTGCTGGCCAGGGAGTTCCGGAGCGGGGTCCTCGAATTGTTGTAAGCCTTGACCGACATGGCAGGAAAGTTTGGGCAGGGTACTTGCCGTGGAGATCCGGAGTGGGGTCCTTTCAAATCGTCGTAAGCCTTGAGCTACATGGCAGGAAAGTTTGGGCAGGGTGCTTGCCGAGGAGTTCCGGAGCGGGGTCCTCTCAAATCGTCGTAAGCCTTGACCCACATGGCAGGAAAGTTTGGGCAGGGTGCTTGCCGAGGAGTTTCGGAGTGGGGTCCTCTCAAATCGTCGTGAGCCCTGACCTACATGGCAGGAAAGTTTGGGCAGGGTGCTTGCCGAGGAGTTGCGGAGCGGGGTCCTCTCAAATCGTCGTGGGCCTTGGGGGCGCTTGCCGTCAAATCGTCGTGAGCCCTGACCTACATGGCAGGAAAGTTTGGGCAGGGTGCTTGCCGTGGAGGTCCGGAGTGGGGTCCTCTCAAATCGTCGTAAGCCTTGAGCTACATGGCAGGAAAGTTTGGGCAGGGTGCTTGCCGAGGGTCCTCTGCTTGCCGTGGGGTTCCGGAATGGGGTCCCCTCAAATCGTCGTAAGCCTTGACCTACTGGCAGGAAAGTTTGGGCAGGGTACTTGCCGTGGAGTTCTGGAGCGGGGTGCTCTCAAATCGCCAAAAGCCTTGACCTACATGGCAGGAAAGTTTGGGCAGCAAGCTTGCCGTGGAGTTCCGGAGTGGGTCCTCTCAAATCGTCGTAAGCCTTGACCTACATGGCAGGAAAGTTTGGGCAGGGTGCTTGCCGTGGAGTTCCGGAGCGGGGTCCTCTCAAATCGTCGTAAGCCTTGACCTACATGGCAGGAAAGTTTGGGCAGCAAGCTTGCCGTGGAGTTCCGGAGTGGGGCCCTCTCAAGTCGTCGTGGGTTTTGACCTACATGGCAGGAAAGTTTGGGCAGGGCGCTTGCCGTAGTTCCGGAGTGGGGCCCTCTCAAATCGTAAGCCTTGACCGACATGGCCGGAAAGTTTGGGCAGGGCGCTTGCCGTGGAGTTCCGGAGTTGAGGGGTAGTCCTTGTCTGGTCAACAGTGAAACAAGCGTACCACCAAAGCGTAAGCCCGTCATCGAAGCAGGAGTGTGACACATGGCCATGCCTCAAAAGCCACATCGTACCAGTGGACATCCGGACTTTTCCGACTTGTCGCATGCGGTCGGCCTCTCGGCGGAACGCATCCTCCACACGCATTACATCACTACACGAAAAAGGCACGAATGCCGTCCGATGAACGCACCACAACCTCCATGTCGGCTCTTGATGGCGTGACAGGGAGTTCACTGAGCGGCACATGGCCATGAAGCCACTTCTCCTGGCCCGCCACTTGGTACAAAGCGCCGTAGCTGAGGTCCCACTGTCCCTGTGGACATCTGAAAATCAACAAGGAACTGACGGTGCACACCCAAGTAGCGGGGCATCTGCACTTGCTGCGGCATCCCAACGGTAGGAGTGATTCGGTCCCTGCTAGGTGGTGCTGCAAGCGGCTCGCGCTCATTCAGTGTCACTTGCTCCGTAACAGCCTTCGACCCCATATCCAAGTGCGGCGTGCGCAAAAGGGTAACTGCCTCACGACTAGTGTGCAGTTGCGCCACATACGCCTGCCAAAGAATTTGGAACTCTTGGGGCCGGCGCCCATTGTACCGCTTGGCAAGCAAATCGACAGCTCCATTACGGCCACGAGTCCAAAGGACACATGAGCATCAACCTTGCTGACTTGTATACTCAAGCCAACCCGGGCAGCTGCAGCTAGATTCACTAAGCTGGTACCATAGGTCATGGTTTTGCCACATGCCCTTGAGCACGTGAAGGCAGTCCGACCAAATGCGGGTAGGGCGACGGAACGCAAAAGAAACGGCACGAAGGGCAGCTGTAAGCTCAGCCCGGCAAGCAGCCTCGTGCAAGAGAAACACTGTTCCCCTGATCACTCACAGTGACAGCACCCCAAGCAGCAAGCCGCGTACTCGGATCGACCGCGTCGCTGCAAGCACCATCCGTAAAAAGGTCAATCTCAGCCGGTACGGCCACGGGCTCAAACTGGCGTGTCAAATCTGGCAGGGCCTCGAGGTGTCGTAGCACAAGAACCTTGCTGCGAACTTCCTGGACCCACGCACGATTGACCGCACACAGTGGAAGATGGTCAACAAGATCCTCTTTGCCTGCAAGTCTCGGTCTTCGCACCTCCGTGAAATGGGAGAAGCTCCATGCACGGTGCTCAACACTATCCCGCTCACCACAGTACTGACACGCCGGTGAATCAACATGCCCTGTGTGGAACAACGCGTCATTAGCATATTGCGTGCACTTGTGAACTACACGCATCAGACCTTGCTGGTTTGCACTGAGTTTCGAAAAGTGGCGCAATGACTCCTGCACATCAACCGCTGCTCGGGCGGTGCACTAGCTCCTGAGCAGCCCGCCTATGCCACGCACGTATGAGCCGCGTTTCGAGCTCCTGGTAAGCTACATCGAATGGACCAATGTCGTCCATAACCAATCCGAACCCAATGCAAGCGTGAAAGCAACACTCCAACCGGACCAGCAGGATACCTAGCGGCCGGGCGTTGAGCCAATTCGGGCAGAGGTCTGTGCCACATAGTTCACAAGGAAACTGACGAAGTCAAACCTTGTCGGCAGATCTTGCGGCCCGTTCGGAGGCCAGTTTGGAATCAGGCCCCCCGCGATCCTCCAGGTGGCACACCAGCTCCAATCGGCCCGATAGCCCCTGCACCGGCTATGTTGGCTGGAGTCAAACCGTTTTAGAGGAAGTAAGTCAATCCTTCCCATGCCTCAATGCGATTGCAGCCGCTGATGTGCAACTTCAAGTTCGGGCAAGGCTCACCAGCAGCACGCCGACTCCACGAAGTGCCAGCTTTCGACAGATCCGGGTCAGCGCCGCAGCGCCGCCAAACACTCTCACGCTGTCGGCTCCAGGCACAAACCAGGACGCAGGATCTGGCCCTCGCTGCAAAATTGCCAGGCCACACAGACATCCCCCACGATCTATCGAAGTGCTAAATGATTGTGAGCTCAGCAAGCCAAAACAAACATAGCTTGCAAGATGATGGGAAACACGTGCGCCTGGGACGGCAGCGAAACAGAGTTGATCACGGCCGGCACTATGTCATTCGGCGCGGCATGAACTAGCTGCTGCGATGCCGCAAAAGCGCGAAGGTCTCCTGGCACAGCTGATTACATCGCCGCCTCCAGCACCGGGTCCACACCAGTCAGAAAAGTGACAGAAGCATTTTCCACCTCCTCACGGACCAGCGACCAGGATGCCGCGTTGTACGGCACAATTGCTCGCATACCACGCACGCACCACCCATTTAACGAGGGTGCCGCCAGGCACATTCGCTGAACAATGGTGAAGTCACCTCTTGACAACCCATGACGCCAGAGCTTGCTGGACTCGAGGCCAACCGCGGTCGGGAACTCGAACGGCGCCAGTAACCTCACCCGCCACGAGCAAATCTGACTGCAAAGAAGGCACCCACTGAAATGAACTTCATGTAACCGTCTGACCTACTGCCAGCTCGCCGCGCAGCTTCCACAGCGCTCATCTCCGTCTCTTTGAGCGCCTTATTCACTTCAGCTTCATTGCGAACTGTCTTCAGCGAGGTGAGCAACGCCTCCAAGGCTTCTTGCCTCCTCGTCACAGCCTCAGCGTCCTCCTTCTCAAGCATTGCGGCTTGCATTGCAGCCATCTGCTGCTCAAGTGTGGCCATCAAAGTCGCACTCATCTTGAACTCCTTCTGAGCTTGCTCTGATCGTGGCTTTGGTCATGCCACCTCCAGGTTCGATAGGGAACGGCAGTCTCGACTGCCCATCAGGCAGACCGGCTCCAAATTCTTTCTGCAGAATGCTAGTGCCTGCATCGCTCTCCGCAGGCGAGGCCATGGCGCCAGCAACTTTGCCCTGTGCTTATACTGATCTTCGAGAGTAGCTTGATGTCGAAATGGCTGCGGGTTTTGACTAACAAATCATCAAATCTCGAGCCAAGCAAACCGCTCACAAGGTTTTATTATAGACGAATCTCAGTTACGGCAAGCAAGAGAACACCGAAATGTCGCTACCACGATGGAATCCCATGATTGACGCAGATGTGTTTGAATGAAGCGCTGAGACAACCTTGTCTACTTCAACCGCCCAGTTAATGCTAAATACTTTGGCCTATCACAACCAACACCTGATATCAAGAAACCCATATCCCGAAGGGGACCCGGGTTAGGCAAAAATCCTCGCAGGGGCGAATATGTTTTTTCACCAGTGAACATCCGATTCACGTGATGCTTCCGGGCCAACCGGCCGTCAATGTTTTTTTCGGGGGGGAGGGGGAGGGGGGGGGGGGGGTCTGACAACCAAAAGTATAACACACACAGTCAGAACCCGGATCCTATCCCCGTTTTTTTAGGATAGTTGGAGGTTCCAGGGAAAAATATGTATTCTAGGGGAACAGCCAAACGACAATGGGTGGTGTTCCTTTGGTTCTTATATATATATATATACACTTCATTTCTTATGATCACGACTAAAGGTGGCTTTAAAGTCCTCCAAAAACCGCAGTCTGATTGTTTAGGCTCTTGTACCTAGAACGTCCACCTCTCAGAAGCCCCAATGGCCATGGGAACAAAACGGGCACCACTGGTGTGCACCTGTTTTTTGTTCAAGGAAATCTTCCAAAAAGGAGCTCCGGGGTAACGAATGCTGCTTGAGCCCATCGCTCCCCGTTATGAGCTTGCCCTTCATGGCACATCAGGTTCTGGAAAGACCGACTTGTGCAACCGGACCAGCTTTGATTTGCTTCTGTTTGATTTTTTATTCTCCCCTTTTTTGGTGCTGAAGGGAACCTACTATCCGACTTGTGCCACCGGTATGGCCATGGGTCCAAAGGTCGTAGCCCCAGCGAACATCCCAATCCAACCACTAAAATCGGTCATGGGTGAATGGGTGAACTCATGCAAACCAACATGGGATCCCAAAACGGTTTTGACAACCACAGCCGTATCCATTTGGGTATGGGTAAAAATTAAACCACCGGGGGACCACAGGTTTTAGTCATTGTTTCCATTTAGCAGGGCAACCCATTTTGGGTTGCCATTTTCGACCCACAGCCATTTGCAGCTCGCCCATGGCAGCTGCCCAGCCCGCCCGGTCCAGCAGCTGCTTCTCCGGAGGGCAGACGCGCTGCGCGAGGCTCCGGAAGCGCTCGTGCTCGAAGAGGCCCCGCACGGGCGCCGGCAGCTCGAAGCTGGGCGGAAGGAAAACCCAGCTGTTGGTTTTGTATGGGTGGTCGGGCTGTGTTGGGCTGTGGGCTTGTTGGGTTAGGCTGTTGGGCTGATGGGCTGTTGGGCTGCGGTTGTTGGGCTGCGATTGTCGGGCAGCAGCATTTGAGTCATAATCAAAACCCGGTACAAAAATGGTGCACCCAGAACCAGCCTCACACCGAGTCCCCTCCAACTGCTTCGGCTTCCCAGGTTTCCAACCAACGAAGCCCGAGGCGCAAGTACCGGCCGAAGGAGGACACCCGCGAGACCATGTGCTCAAAGGGCTCACGGATGGCCTGCCGCTAAGCTGGGCCTTTCCAAGAAACACAAGCCATCTGCAAACAGAAGACGGCAGTGGAATCACTCAAGAGACGGGATCATGGCAGAAAGAGTGAGAACAAAGGAGCAAGAACTCAGGAAACAAAGGGTCCAATCGACAGTGCCGAAAGCATAGGGAACCCTGGAACCCCTCCAGATTTCCGAGCACCACCTTTTCTGAGGAATCGAAACATCGCCAAACGTCTGGAAGGGGAACACGCAATTCGTGTACCCCATGAAACCGTTTCACGTCCACAAATGGAAGTGATTTGCTTTCCAAACGAAGCAACATACGAGACACACAGCGCATGCCTCCCTGGAACTTGCCAAATGCGCTCCGGAAAAACTAGCCAAATTGGCAGAACAGACACAGCCTCCTTCCAACGCGACAGCAATGGCCTCAAGCAAACCGTTTTCAACCTCGTCAGCCTGGCTGGCCAAAGTGGTGCCAAAGCAGCTCATAGCATACTTGACCTGCAATGTATTTTCCCGGATCCAGAAGGAGCACCTGTCTCCAGGTGAGTTGACCACTTCCAAAAAAGAAAAACTCTGTCTAGCTGGCTGAAACAAAAAGCGCCAGAAGGCCACAGAGAGTCCCTATCTTGCAAGCAACTACTCCAGCCCCTAACCTCAGTCTGACCCTGCCTCTGGCCCACCAGTCATGACGAAATGCTTCCCGACGTCGATGCGCTGAGGTAAGATGCAGTCACTGCCTAGGCCAAGAGACAGAAAACCACTCTCTCGACAGCAAAATCGGGACCCTCGTGTTGTTTGGTCCTACGATTCTGTTGGGTTTAGATCAAAACTTGGTTGCAGCCCCGGAACTGCCTGGCACCAAATCTGAAAGCTGGCCCAAAGCACCCAAGACCCTTTGGGGGAAAAAGGTCAGAAGCTGCTTGGGTCAGGTGGCCGACTGTCCCGGACACGTCCTGGGCTTTTGTTTGGGTAGCCACTTTGGAGCCACCACGTTTTTTTTTCCTGAAACCAGGTGAACGCGCTTTGGATGCTTTTCAGAGTATTGGGCACGCCACTGGCATCAACACGCCCAAAGCCTCGAAATGTTGCTAGTGGGTTCCCGGGAAGAAAATAAAGGGTGCTGTGAACACTTGGCGGTTCCCCCCCCTCCCCCCCTCCCCCCCTCCTTCTCTCCTCGGTTTTTTCGACCCTCGAGGCTGAAGCGCTGTTGCCATCCCGCGCAAGCAGCGGATGGGAGCAGCTCCCGTCCGCCTGGGATTTCCGGCTCTCCGCTCGAACGCCGAAAGGCGAGCCGATGGGGGGGTCCGAGTTTGGACCATCTTTTACTCCCGTTTACTCAACAAACCCTGGGGGTAGCTTGGGCCAGGTCCATTTTTGTGGGCGACGGCCACTGAACTTGCTTCCTTCGTTGACATGCATGAACCACCAATGCAAACCTCTTGTGGTTGCCCTCCAGATGGTGTCCCTTCGTTGGGAAAGAAAGGCATCATAGCTCGCACCCTGGAATTTGGAATCCCTGAGTAAGGCTCGTCATCCTGGATAGCCTTACAGGTGCGGATGTTCGCATCACCCTTGCTCACACTCGGTCTAACACTAGTGTAGGCGGTGCCTGTGTGACATCAAATGCCTTGATGAGAAAATTATGGATCTCGTGAATAATATCTTTGCGAATAAGCTGCGAGCCTGGAACATGGATGTTCTGCAGAGTGTTGCTGTTGGCCAAAATTCTAGAGCCTGATCAAATTACGGACGCCGTCCGATCACTATTGCCCCACTGTGTTACAGAATCTTTGCCCGCACACTTAGTGGTAAGCTTACCTTCCAACTCTTGCCTGCCGCCGGGGGTCTTGGGTGGACTTCCAGGTCTTGCCTCTTGGGAATCGTACTACT